AGACATTAAAACATTCGGGTTCCTTGGTCTCAATTTCACTTGGTCTCCTACCAGATCTACTACATAGGAACTCTGGATGGTGGCCTAGGGGACCTGCGTGTTAACTTCACCGCAGCAGGTGCTGGTGGTCTGCAGAGCTGTAAAGCTTGGTTTCAGCTCTGTGAAATCTTCGGCAAGTTACCTGCCCTCTCTGCGCCTCCGTTTTCTTATTTGTAAGAGGTGGCTGTCAATGATTGGCATGGGCAGTAAGTGATAGAATGTATGTAAAGCACCTGCCTCCTAACTGGCATTCCCCTAAAGTCAGAGTCCTTCATTCCCTCTCCTTGGAGAGGGTGTTAAAATTGAACTCAGTTGATGGTGGAAAACAATTGAAAGTGGGTCAGGTCGATGGTGCGTGTTGTGTTCAATCATATGGTTCTCGCCCATCAGTCTGGAGGATATGGTCCTGGCAGAGGCCAGCTCTCCTTTCAGCCCCATTTCCCTCCCTCCCTCCCTCCCTCCCTCCCTTCCTTCCTCCCTCCCTCCCTCCATCCTTCCTTCCCTTCTTTCCTCCCTTCCTTCCTTTGCAGCCTTGCTTTTCAAAATCCTCACCAGAGGAAATTTTCCCCATTGATTTTCATACAGAGTGAAGGAAGGAAGGAGGAGGGGAGAGAGAGAGAGAGAGAAACACCTATGTGAGAGAGAGAGAGAGAGAGAGAGAGAGAGAGAAACACCTATGTGAGAGAGACACATCAATTGGTTGCCTCTTGCACTTTCCTCTATTGGGCCAGGGATCAAACCTGCACCCAGGTACATATGTGCCCTTGATTGGTTTCTTTTCTTTTCTTTTTTAATATATTTTTTATTGATATCAGAGAGGAAGGGAGAGGGAGAGAGAGATAGAAACATCAATGATGACAGAGAGTCATTGATTGGCTGCCTCCTGCACGCCCCTTACTGGGGATCGAGCCCGCAACCTGGGCATGTGCCCTTGACCGGAATCGAACCCGGGACCTTTCAATCCGCAGGCTGACACTCTATCCACTGAGCCAATCCAGCTCGGGCCCCTTGACTGTTAATTGAACCCGAGACTCTTCGGTGCACAGGCTAATGCTCTAACTACTGAGAAACACTGCCATGGCTCCCTCCAACTCCCATTTTTCATAGGGTCAATAGATGGTGTGGTTAATAGACAACTCCCGTCCTGCCTGATTTATATTGTTCATTGGTGACTGGTCCAATTTTCACCTTTGGTTCCTCTTTCTGTTCTTGGGTTCTTGCTACAGAAACGAGTCACCAGGCCCTTCAGAACATGCCCAAAGTGCTCCGTGATGTCGAAGCCCTTAAACAGGAGGCGTCTTTTCTGAAAGAACAAATGATTCTTGTCAAGGAGGACATTAAAAAGTTTGAACAGGACACATCGCAGTCAATGCAGGTATTTTGGCTCCTGCCCGAATGCTGACTCGTGGTTTTGGAAGACGTTCACTCTCAGAGTGGGAGGCCAGCGTTAGCTCAGAATTCTACCAAGCACTCAGACTGCTCTCCTGCTGCGTTCTTTCAGTGTATTCATCTCTGTTCAGCACCCGCTGGACGTTTAGCCATGTGATTGGTGTTGTGAGGGCACAGGAGCTCCCTGAGATAGGAACGTGCCGCAATGCTTAGGTCTCAAGTCACTGATGGGAGGCAGAGAAAATGGAACAGCTGCTTCCTTGGCTTCTGACCCCTTTCCCTTTCAGGTGTTGGTAGAAATTGACCAGGTGAAGTCCAGGATGCAGCTTGCCGCCGAGTCCCTGCAGGAAGCAGACAAGTGGAGCACGTTGAGTGCTGACATTGAGGAGACATTCAAGACTCAGGTAGGTGTCTTGGTCAGGGGATGTGCAGTCTGTTCAGGGAACTGGAGGTTTGGGGAAGCTAATGAGATACCCATTCACTCACAACCATAGGGGTAGGAAATGGCCACGGACAGAAGCATTCAGACACGGGGAAGGGACAGCCTGAGTGTGCTCTCAGCATACCCACCCTCTTTACTTCGCACCCTCTGCTGACTGAAGCCTCTTAGTCCCAGAGAGTGAATTCAGGAGAAGCCCCTATAAAAAGGCAGAGGGAACAGTGATTGAGAGCGTGGACTGTGGGCAGAGGGGCCATACACACTGCAGGATCACGGTGAGTTAGCCCCTCCCAGGCTGCCAGATGTGGAAAGTAGTGAAAGTTGCGTATCAGGATGAAGTGAGATGAGGTCTTATGGAAAAGTCTTTTACTTGTAAAGCAAAATGGATTATTTATCATCTCTTGTTATTTTTGAAAAATTTAAAAATGTGATAAATGTATGTGAGAAAAACTTTAGTAAAGAGGAATAAACAACAACAAAAAGTCTTTCTCGTAACCCTGACACCCCCTACTTCCCATACAAACTCTGTTATCATCTTTATGCCTGTCCTTCCAGATACACACACAGATACCTGTTCCCTGCCCTTCTCCCCCCACAAGTGTGAGCACTGCTTTGCACCTTGTATTTTTTTTTTTTTTTTAGAGATAGAGGATGGGGGAGGAAGAGAGAAACACTGATGTGAGAGCACAACATCTATCGGCTGCCTCCTGCACGTGCCCCACCAGGGATCGAGCCTGCAACCCAGGCATGTGCCCTGACTGGGAATCGAACTGGTAACCTCCTGGTGCACAGGATGGCACCCAACCAACTGAGCCATACCAGCCAGGGCCAGTTATCATTGCCTTTATGTACAACAGAACCATACTCCCTCCCCTTCTATTTCAGAGCCTTACAGGGTGCAGACAAGTCCAATTGATCTGGCTTTATAGATGTAGGTTGCAACTCTTACTGAATTCTTGGCGTGTGTATGAGAGAGAATGGATTTAATTACGGTCTCTGAGTTTAACCTGGTGAACTACTAATGCTAATTGCTTTTCTCCTTCCCACTGTCCTGTTACCCAGAACTGCCCGCGCGGCGCACAGTCCCACATGCCTCCAGCCGCACTCCCCCGAGGCACTTAGAACCTGAAGTCTTTGTTTCCGTCCTGGGCTACTCTCCTCTGGCTCCTTCTTTCAGCTTCCTGCCTTGGTTAACGGCATCATTTTCCACGCCAGTATCCAGGGTGGAACCTCAGCAGTCCTTACTTGCTCCTTCTCCATCCCTCTCTTTTTTTTTTTTTTTTAAAAATATATTTTATTCATTTTTTACAGAGAGGAAGGGAGAGAGATAGAGAGTTAGAAACATCGATGAGAGAGAAACATCGACCAGCTGCCTCCTGCACACCTCCCACTGGGGATGTGCCCGCAACCCAGGTACAATGCCCTCGACCGGAATCGAACCCGGGACCCCTCAGTCCGCAGGCCGACGCTCTATCCACTGAGCCAAACCGGTTTCGGCCTCCATCCCTCTCTTATTTCTCCTCTGTTATCTGTCCTTTTCGTTCCTCTGCCACCACTCTAGTCATGCTTCCCAGTCGTTTTCCTGCTAGACCAGCAGTCGGCAACCGGTGGTCCGCGGACCACTGATGGTCCGTGAGGTCCGAAAGGTTGGTGACCGCTGTGCTAGACCATTGCAGCAACCCTCGTGGGTCTTGCTGCCAGGTCCCTCCCATGTTCCAGTGTATCCTCCACAAGGGACCAGGGAGAGATTCTAAAGCAGTGGTTCTCAACCTTCCTAATGCTGCGACCCTTTAATACAGTTCCTCATGTTGTGGTGACCCCCAATTTCATTGTTACAAATTGAACATAGTTAAAGCATAGTGATTAATCACAAAAACAATATGTGATTATATCTGTGTTTTCCGATGGTCTTAGGCGACCCCTGTGAAAGGGTTGTTCGACCCCCAGGTTGAGAACCACTGTTCTAAAGCATAGATTGGCACTGGTCATTTCCCTGTTCCTTGCCTTCCCATTTAAAAAAAAAGTTGTTTTTTTAAAATTTTATTTCAGAGAGGAAGGGAGAGGGAGAGAGAGATAGAAACATCAGTGATGAGAGAGAATGATTGAGCCCATAACCTGGGCATGTGCCCTGATCAGGAATCAGACCAGGACCTCCTGGTTCATAGGTCGATGCTTAACTACTGAGTCATGCTGGTTGGCCTCCATCCCCCATTTTCCTTTTCTTTCTTTTCTTTTTTTTCATTTAATCCTCATCTGAGGATATTTTTTCCACTGATTTTTAGAGAGAGTGGAAGGGAGAGGGAGAAACAGAGAGAAACATGGATGTGAGAGAGACACATTGATTGGTTGCCTCCCGCATGCCCCCAACCAGGGCCGGGAGCCTGCAACCAAGATACACGACCTTGACTGAAATTGAACCCGGGACCCTTCAGTCTGCAGGCTCTATCCACCGAGCCAAACCAACTAGGGCTCGATCCCCCATTTTCTACCAGATAAATCTTATGCACACTCACAGGACATAGCCTGTCTTCCACAGCAGGGTGTGTGGTTTTTCCCGTGGCCGCCCCCTCCGTATGAATTCCACATCTTGGCTGCTGTGGACTGTTAACGCCATCCATTCATGTCTTCCTTCTTTGCCCGAAAGGTCCTTCCTTTCCTTTTCTTACAGGCAGGAGACCTCCACTCGTCCGTCAAGGCCCCGCTGTAGTAGCACCTCCTCTTACTCTCTGCTAGCCCTCGCCTCGCACAGGCAGCATGAAGTGCTCCCTCACCTGTGCTCCTGTACGTCTTAAACTGTATTGCAATCTCCTGTCCCAGTACTCTGTGAACTCCAGGCCAGCAACATGACCTCCCTCCTCTTTGTGTCTCAAACCCCTAATACATTGTCTGACAAACCATAGACGCGTGGAATGCTGAGGTGAAATGCAGTTAGTTATTACACCCTTAATTCTACAAAAATAGCATTTACTTTTCTCATTATGAACATAATATATGTGTCTTAGGAGAATTGGAAAATTCAGAAAAATACATGGAAGGAAATAAAATGATCCCCATTCATATTCCCTAGTAATATGTTTTTTATGTCTACTAGGTATTTTTTAAAAGTATTTGTGCATATTTGTACTTATATATTTTTATATTTATGCATATATTATAGGTGATATAAATCTGTATATACATTCAAACCTCAGTTCTTGAACATCTGCCATCTCAAACAATTCGGTTCTTGACCAAGTTGTTCATGGAAAAAATGCTTGTCAAACAAATTTCGGTTCTCGACCTGACAATTCTTTGTATTTCTCAGACCACAAAGGAGAGAATGCACAAGTGTGTCAGGTTACTGTTAAACCAGTGGTTCCCAAACTTATTTGGCCTACCGCTCCCTTTCCAGAAAAAATATTACTCAGCGCCCCCTGGAAATTAATTTTTTTAAAATTTTAATAGCAATTAAACAGAAAGATATATGTATTAATGTTTCTACCTTTTTCGTAAAATATAGTAACGAAAGGTGTAAATTAGAAACATTGAAGTTTGAAATTATGAAACTATTTATTGAACTCAGAATAGAAAGGTAATACAAAAAAAGTTAAAACAAATGCACCTGTGGCCATCACCGCCTCCCTGGATCACTGGCAGCGCCCACCAGGGGGCGGTAGCGCCCACTTTGGGAATCACTGTGTTAAACCTCAGCTTTTTAACATCTCGGAAAATTGTGCTGTGAATATTTTTTTTTAAATATATTTTATTGATTTTTTTACAGAGAGGAGGGGAGAGGGATAGAGAGTTAGAAACATCGATGAGAGAGAAACATCGATCAGCTGCCTCTTGCACACCCCCTACTGGGGATGTGCCCACAACCAAGGTACATGCCCTTGACCGGAATCGAACCTGGGACCCATGAGTCTGCAGGCCGACACTCTATCCGCTGAGCCAAACTGGTTAGGGCATGTGCTGTGAATATTTTTGTGTGTGTTTTTGCTTTTGTTGCTGGTGAAATGGATGATTAGCACAATTTTAAAACATAAAGAGGCCATCAAGAGTGTGATGTTGCCCTGGCTGCTATGGATCAGTGGTTAGAGCATCGACCCACTCATCAAAGAGTCTTGGGTTTGATTCATGGTCAAGGGCAAGTACCTGTGTTGCAGCTTCGATCCCCGGCCCCCAGTTGGGGCTTGTGTGGGAGGCAACCAATTGATGTGTCTCTCTCACATCAAGTCAGGCTCACTCTCTTTGTCTCTTTCTCCCTCCTTCCTTTTTGCCCTCCCTCCCGCCCTTCCACTCTCTCTAAAAATCAATGGAGCCCGTCCCGCGTGGCTCAGTGGTTGCTCGTCCACCTATGAACCAGGAGGTCACGATTTGATTCCCTGTCGGGGCACCTGCCCACGTTGTGGGCTTGATCCCCAGTGTGGGGCGTGCAAGAAGCAGCTGATCAATGGTTCTCTCTCATTGCTGTTTCTCTCTCCCTCTTCCTTCCTCTCTGAAATCAATAAAAAATATATATTTTTTTTTTTCAAAAGAAGAGCTTACTTTAAAAATAAAATTAAAAATAAATGGAAAAAATATCCTTGGGTGAGGATTAACAAAGAAATAAAAAAAAGTGTTGATACTGCTAACGGTGTGCTCATCACAGGCAATTGGCAAGGTAGAAAGCCTGTTGTTGATTTGGATAAATGAAAAGCAGTTAGCCTGTGACAGCATTTCGGAGGCAGTGATATGTGAGAAAGTGAAGATGCTGCATGCTGACCCGAAAGACAGCCTGGAAGGATGCTGAATGTGATTCGTTTAAGGCTAGTAGGGGGTAGTTTGTTTATAGATTAAACAGTACATTAGTCATGTACGGTATATAAGAAAGGTTAAAGGAGGGAATCATTTGGGGGTCTGGAATAACTTCAATTTATATTCTTTTTTAAAAATATATTTTTATTGATTTCAGAGAGGAAGGGAGAGGGAGAGATAGAAACATCAGTGATGAGAGAGAATCATTGATCGATTGCCTCCTGGACGCCTCCCACTGAGGATCCAGCCCTCAACCCAGGCATGTGCCCTGACTGGGAATTGAACCGTGACCTCCTGGTTTATAGGTTGATGCCTAACGACTGAACAACACCAGCCAGGCCAATTTACATTATTTCTAAGTGGGGAGGAAATGATTCAGTTTTTGAACAAACTCCTTCTTGAACAGCCTTCTGGAGTGAATTAAGTTAGAGAACTGAGGTCCCACTGTATTCTAATGTCTATATGCTTTTTATTTTTTAATTTAATCATCACCTAAGGATATGTTCATTGATTTTAGAGAGAAAGGAAGGGAGGGAGGGAGAGAGAGAGAAGGAAAGAGAAACATCTATCAGCTGCCTTCTGTATGCCCCCTACTGGCGATTGACTCGCAACCTGGCATGTGCCCTGACCAGGAATTGAGCCTGCAACCTTTTTGGTGCGTGGGATGATGCTCCAACCAACTGGGCCACCTGGCCAGGGTTCTGTGGTTTTTTTTATCCTGTTTATTTCACTTAATAGTTAGTGGTAAGTATTTTGCTGTGTAATTAATAATTTTCAAAAACATAATTTTTTGTGGTTGTACAATATTCCACCTGCTATTTGAATGACCCATAATTTATATTTTATTTAGTATTATGGAAGATTTAGGTTGCTTTCAGGTTTTTGTTATTACAACACTAAAATCATACTAATTCTATATAATAAAAGCCTAAGTGTCCGGTTGTCCGTTCAATCAAAATGTACTATGCTAATGATATGCTAAGGCTGCTCAACCGCTTGCTATGACGTGCACTGACCACCAGAAGGCAGACAGTCAACTAGTCGACCAGTTGCTATGATGTGCACTTACCACCAGGGGGCAGACGCTCCGACCAGTAGGTTACCTTGCTGCTGGGGTCCAGCCGATCGGGACTGGGCGAGACAAGCCGGACACACCCTGGAGCCCTCCCATAGTCCCTCCCCGGCTGGCCAACCTCCCGTGTCCCTCCCTGGCCCCGATTGTGCACTGGTGGGGTCCCTCGGCCTGGCACCTGCACCCTCTCGCAATCCGGGACCCCTCAGGGGATGTCAGAGAGCTGATTTTGGCCCGATCCCATAGGCTAGGCCAAGGGACCCCACTGGTGCACAAATTCGTGCACTGGGCCTCTAGTTAATTATAACATATTAATATTTTTGTGTCCTCTGATAAGTTCCTTAGACAAATTTGTAGAAGAGGGAATACCAGATCAAAGATGTGAATATTTTTAAGTCTCTTGATGCATGGTACTGAATTGCCTTCTAGAAAGACATATAAATTTATGGTACCAGACAGACTTTTTTTTTGTATCCTCACAAACAGTAGCTATTATAATTTTTTAAAAGTTTTTCCAGCCCTGGCTGGTTTGACTCAGTGAATAGAGCGTTGGCCTGCAGACTGAAGGGTCCTGGGTTTGATTCCAGCCAAGAGCACATGTCCGGGTTGTGGGCTCGATCCCCAGTGGGGGTGTGCAGGAGGCAGCCAATCATTGATGTTTCTATCTCTCTCTTCCTCTCCCTTCCTCTCTGAAATTAATAAAAGAAATATATTTAAAAAAAGTTTTTCCAATTGGTTAGGAAGATGGCACTTTCTAATTTTAATATGTATTTGAGTACTAATAATAGTCAACATGTTTATTGGCCATTTTCTTATGCTTTTTCATGCATTTTGTCCATTATTAACTGAAGTAGCAGGGGTGTTTTAAAATAAGTATCCTTTGTGTTGGTCTTCTTATAGGACATAGCCGTGATTTCCGCCAAGCTAACAGGTATGCAAAACAGCTTAATGATGCTCGTGGACACACCGGACTACTCAGAAAAGTGTGTGCACTTGGAGGCCTTGAAAAACAGGCTGGAGGCCTTGGCCAGTCCCCAGATCGTTGCAGCGTTCACCTCGCAGTCTGTAGGTGAGTGCTGGCTATTTCTTACCTCTGTGTACCCCTCTTTACAAATTTAAGATTTTCTGAGTGCTCAGTCTTTACAGTGCCTCAGTGTTGATTAAATTATGTAGATTGAAAGTAAATTGTGACTTTATGTCAGTTGCCTTTTTTCAACATTGTATATGAAAAAGTTCAAAGTACAGAAAAGTTGAAATAAGTCTACAATAAACACACCATCAGGATCCTAGCATTGGCATTTTGCCATATTTGCTTTGTCACATGTCTACCCATTTGACCACCTTTCTACTCATCATCTTTGATGCATTTCAAAGTAAGTTGCAGACATCAGTAAGCTTCACTCCTAAACACTTCAGATTCATGTTAATAACTTGAGTTTAGTATTGGTTTGTGATTTGTTTCTTATTTGGGGTAAAATTTACATGTAGAGAAATGAACAGATCTTAAGTGTACCACTTGATAAGTTGTGACCCTTGTCAAAGAACATTATGTGGGTATGTTACTTTCCAGTGTTATTTTAACACATGTGTTTATCTGACTCTCCCTTTCCCTTTGCCCCACAAAATGTTTGGTAAACCAGGAAGAAACAGCAGTAAAACTGTTTTCTTACCTTTACAGCTGTTTGGTTTTTTTTTGTTTTTTTTCCCACAGTTGTTTGTTTTGCACAAAACATAATCTGTCCACTGCTCCCGCTTCCTTCACTCACAAGCCCTTCTGCTCTGGGTTTAATGTTCTTCTCATCCTGTTGCATTGAACTCTCCAACAACTGTCACCAGCAACCTTGGAGGCCTCATCCATTTATACTTCGCTGTTTCTCATTGTCAACAAGTGTTAATATTTTTTGCTCCCTTCTTTCTGAAACGCTCCCCTCCCTGGCTCCTGAGAGGGAGTATTGATTTTGTTTATATGATGGCACATTTCCGATGATTTAAATTAAGTCACGAGAAGGTGCTATCTTGGGTTCTGTATGCTGTCTTAAATTTGTTTTAGGATGGTGGCATGTGCTGAGACCAGGCTTCATTAGTTATTTTTTTGGAAATCTATAGCTAGCTAGTTAATATGAATATGCAGACCTGTGTATATATAAACTCTTATCATACATATAAACATTATAAAATTTCATTGTACTGAGTTTGACCATATACTTTATTATTAAACTAGGACACTTTTAGAGGAAAAGGGAGTGCTTTTAATCATGAAGCTGGGACAACAGTTGTAAACTGTCACCCCTGTTCCCATATAGAACCCTTGAGAATGATCCTGTGGCTAGTTGAGTTTTCCGTGTGGGTGAGAGCAGCTTAATAACCAAACAACTATGCTGTCCTCCCTCTGAAGATTTGCTAACTGGGAGCTTCGCAGTTCAGTCCTCCTGGTAGTCAGACCTGCAAAGGCCTGGCCTCCCTGCCCTGGGGGAAAGCCACACCTAAATGGAACTCACAGTCAGCCCTCAATACTACTGTGTTAGCTAGTCACAAAAATTATTGTAACATTTTATTAAATGCCTTTTTAATAGATGCTTTTGTTAAAAGCATCTATCAAGATTGAATGTATTATTTTTATTTTCTCTGACCTACTAATATGGCAAATCACATTAATAGCATTTCTGATTGTTGCATTATTCTGCAATTCAACAAGCCCCACTTGTCCATGGTGGGTGTGTGTATGTGTGTGTTCATGTCCTACTGGATGTTTGCTGACATTTTACTTAGAATTTTTTTGTTGAGATCACATAAGTGAATATTTTGTCAGGTTGTAGTACCATGATTCTGTTGGCCTCATGAAAACATTGGGAAGCTTTCTGTCTTTCTTCTTTTTCTTTTTAATCCTCATTTGAGAATATTTTTCCATTGATTTTTTTTTTTTTTAAGAGAGAGTAGAAGGAAGGGGGAGAGGCAGAGAGAGAGAAACTTCGATGTGAGAGAGACACATTCATTGGTTGCCTCCTGCACACACCCTGACCAAGGCTGGGTTGAACCTGCAACCGAGGTACATGCTCTTGACAGGAATCGAACCTGGGACCCTTCAGTCTGCAGGCCATTGTTCTTTCCACTTCTCTTTTAGGATTTAAATAGCATTTTTATCAATATTGTTATGACCCCCTTGAGTACTTTTTGTCTGCAGTTCCACTTGCATATGAATATTATGACTTCTGTCTATTCTTATGCCAGTACCACACTGTTTTGATTATTGTGGCTTTGTAGTAAGTTTATTTTTTATTTCATTTTAGAGAGGAAGGGAAGGAGAAATAGAGAAACATCAATGTGAGAGAGAAACGTTGATCAGTTGCCCCCTGACCGTGTCCCAACCAGAAATCAAACCCAAAACTTGGGCATGTGCCCTGACTGGGAATTGAACCCACCACCTTTTGGTGTATTGGACAATGCTCCAACCAGCTGAGCCACAGGGGCAGGGCGGGTAAGTTTTGAAATGAAGTGTGAGATCACCAGTGTGGATGAGCACTGGGGTACCCAGTGATACCATGCGGCACAGGTCTTCTTCCCACACCTGGCCGTGACCTCCCTTCGCTCCCTGTCTTCACTCCTTTCCAGAGTGCTGCTTCGTGTTTATGTTCAGAGCTCTCCCAGCAGTTCCACTCCTCTTGAACCAAAATGATTGCATTGCATTCTTTGAAGTTTGTAGTACAGGTATTTTCCTGGCTTTAACGTAGATGAAATGGTGTTGTGTTTCTTTTGGTGGTTAATTTTGCTATCAGGAAGGCCCCCCCCTCCCCCTCCCCCCCAAAAAAAAGAAAGAAAAAAAAAGAAAAAAGTAATGTGCTCTTTAATCAGTCATCTTTCCTGGAAGGCCAAGGTGCTGCTACTTTTTCTTTTCTTTTTTTTCTTTTTAACATTTTTATTGATTTCAGAGAGGAAGGGATAAGGAGAGAGAGAGAGATAGAGACATCAGTGATGAGAGAGAATCATTGATTGTCTGGGTGCCTCCTGCACATTCCCTACTGGGGATCAAGCCCACAACCCAGGCATGTGCCCTGACCAGGAATCCAGCCATGACATCTTGGTTCACAGGTCGATGCTCAACCATACCAGCCGGGTAAAGTGCTTCTTTACCTAGCAGTTTTTAAAGGGAGAGCTCTGATAAATTTGTACATCCCCAACACATACCCTTTTCTATTTGTCTCCCAGAGTGACAATCTCTGTAATAGACATGCCTGCTTTGTTTTATACAACCAGTTGATAAGTTGAATCAACTTTCTGTGGCATAATTTTACATGTAATAGAAAGATGCATTTATTTATGCCATCTTATGAAAAGAATAAGCATTTAAAGGCAAATAGTAATTTCCTCACCCATAGATTCCTACTCATTAAAGCAGTATCTACAGTATTGGCAGGTTTCCAGAGTTTAGCTGATTGTCTCTGCAGTGGTTGCTATTACAGATTTTCCTTCTTAGCAGTTTATTGGGCTTCCTAGAGATGAAGGGGAGCAAAGCAGATATAAAAGGTGGGTCAGCTCAGGTTTTTTTCTTCTTTTTAATTGAATCCTAAGACTGTGGCATCTATGCTTTGGCCAGAAGGGGGCAGTGTTGCTGCACATTGAGGGCCAGCAGGGACCAGCCTTCCGTTTTCCTGCGGTCATCCTGGAAGCAAGGGCTTTGTGTAGTCATTTCCTCTCTAGGAAGCATGTCAGGACTTACTTGACATTAGACCCATAACTTGACTCTTAGAGCCCTTTGCTACGTGTGGAATGCTGATGTTTACCACGTTATTTACTTATTCCTTAAGCCACCAAATCTGGGGGTTGAGTTTGCATTTTTTTTATGGTTCCCATGTGGTATCACAGTAAGAATTTTCAAAGGGCTGACTAACTGGTAACTCTTACTTCAACATATTAATAATGTGAGGAACAGGGAATATCCAGATGAGTCAGGTAAGGTTTCTGCCCGTCAGGACAGCTTGGGCGAGGGTGAGGCCCGGAGAGACAGTGCACAGATAGTTACAAGATGGAATGTGAAAGCCGCCGAGGCCAGGACCAAGGAGAGGACGAAGGAAAACAGAGGACGCTTTTATGCAGGAGCTAGTATCTGCGCAGAACCCTGAAAGAGATGGATTTAAAAACATCTGAAAATATTTCTTATTATAAATGTAATGCGTGTAGAGGTTATTGGAAAGAAGATTGAGCAGTAAACTCACCATAGAGAGGACCGTTAGTGTTTTCTTCCAGTTTCCCCCCTTTGTATACATATATCTTTCAAGGAATGTATATATATTGAGTATATACATTTTTACTTTTTTGCCCCCAGTTAGCAATATAGTATGAGTATTTTCTCCTGGGTGTAAGATTTTGATAGGTGAGGAGAAGCATTTGGCAGAGGGAACAACATGTTTGAATGGTACAGAAGTAGGAAAACTGGGTCTGTTTTGGGGAATAATAAGTAAACCGATTTTTGTGGAGTGACTGTTGGGAAATGGTCATTGATGAGGCTGGAAAGAAAGGTTGGGGACAGCATGTTTTGCTTGAGCAGATGAAGGAGCTTCTGTTCAGGGAATATTCATCGCTGTTAGCATTTTATTAGTAAGTCTCCTGAGGAGTCTGGCTGAGAGGAAGCAGTGCTGACTGGAGATTGGACAGACCTAGCTTTAAATCTCTGGCTGCTGCATATGAACAATGAGACCACAGTTCCCTCAGTCACACGAGTGGAATACGACTGAGTCATTCTTGGGGGGATTAAGGGAGACAGCAGGAGCTGCCCAGGGGAGACATTCAGGGATCATTCATTCCTCTGGGACCTCCTGTTTGGAGACTGTGGCTCTTAGAGTGGCCCAAAGGGGACAGTTTCTACGAGGCTAGTGAGGAACGCTTGGAGATTCTGCTTGAATGAGAGCTGCAGCATTTCTAAAAGGCCTGCAGCTCAGCAGATTTAGCTAAATTACAGATTGGAAGTGCAGACCCACAAATGAGTTAATTGGCTTTGCTTTTTCTTGAGTTCAGCTAAATCCCCCCCCCCCCCCTCGTCAGCTACAATGTTGGAAAAGTTAAATCATACTGAAGGTCTTATAGGGGGAAAATAGCTTCTCTTCCTCTACCTCCTCATGCCCCACTTCCAGTCCCAGGAGACCACCACTTTTGATTTCTAGAGCTCTAGTTTTCTGGTATTTCCCTTTGCATTTCTGCATAATAAATGTATTACTTTATTTCTTCATATAAGATCTATTGACCCCATTGTTATAGCTAAGGATTTAGCTCTCATAGCTTTCCTCTCCCCCTTACCCATTCTCCTCCTATATTATCATTTTATTTATTTATTTAATTTACAAAAAAGTATTTTTATTGCCCTGGCTGGTTTGGCTCAGTGGATAGAGCGTCAGCCTGCAGACTGAAGGGTCCCAGGTTAGATTCCGGGTCAGGGCACATGCCCGGGTTGTGGGCTCAATCCCCAGTAGGGGACGTGCAGAAGGCAGCCCATCAATGATTCTCTCTCATTGTTGATATTTGTATCTCTCTCTCTCTCCCTCTCCCTTCCTCTCTGAAATTTTTGTATGCTCCATACTGGGGATCAAGCCCTGACCAGGGATCGAACCGTGACCTCCTGATTCATAGATCAATGCTCAACCACTGAGCCACGCCAGCGGGGCTATACCATCATTTTAAATCGAATTGAATAGTATTTATATTATCACAATTTTATAAATAGTTCCTTTATTTTTAACTCCTTTTCTGTTCAGCTTCATGTTTATCCTGAAGTGTCTGATTGCCTTTTTATTCTTTCTCTTCCTTCTTACCATCCATAGTTCTTAATTTTTTCCAAACACTGTATCTTGGGAGTAAGGCATTCTTCTGAGTTTCCCCTTGTCCCAGAGACTTCCCTTCTGGAGCTCTCTCTTCGCTGGTCTGGACCAGCACAGCTCCTGGAATTCTTTGCTAGGTCTGAGATTAAAATCTTGTGCCTGTCAGTTGTCATTATGGACAAGTCATAGGTGTTAAAGGTTGTCTCAGGAACCTTGGCCCTTCTGGTTGTGTGATCTTGACTAGCTTATTTATTCTGTTGGCAGTTTCTCTACCTTCTTGACTCAAGGGTTGCATGAAGTTAGTGAGGTTATGTAAAGGGGAAGCTTTGGAAGAAGTCCTGTGAGTGTACAAGTGGGCCCGGTAGCTTGTCCACAGCGAGTTTCTGTTCCTGTGACCTACTCCGCAGAGCTGTCTTGGACATTATCCTCACTTCTCTTTATATTTACTCACACACTCAAGCACATGCTCTGTTTGTCCAGGGCAGAGGAGCAGCGAGCAGGGGAGAAGGGTGAAGGGCGGTTCTCTCAGGCACATGCCTCAGGCCGGTTCCTGCGGGCTGTAGCTGGGAGCAAACAGGGTGATGTGCAGACTGATACAGTGGAGGAAGTACTTTAGGGAGCGGTCTCAGAGCATTTTTTTCTGTATATTTATTTCATTTAACAGGTAATTCTGACATCTCTTCTACATGCAGGGCACTCTGAGAAGTACTTACGTTGAAATAGAATGTGAAATTATATGTGAAAGCAGCATAAATAAATTTTGGGGACTCTTATTTTTTACTTTACTTTTTAAAAAAATATATTTTTATTGATTTCAGAAAGGAAGGGAAAGGGAGAGAGAAGTAGAAAGATCAATGATGAGAGAGAATCACTGATTGGCTGCCTCCTGCATGTCCCCTACTGGGGATCAAGCCTACATACAGCTTGGGCTTGTGCCCTGACTGGGAATTGAACTGGCGACCGCTTGGTGCATGGGAAGAGGCTCAACCAACTGAGCTGCACTGGCCAGGGCCCACAATGAATCTTGATGGCATTTCATGGACAGTCTTTTGCACCTCTGATCAATTACTTTAATCAGGAGGATTTGACGCCCTGGCTGGCCAGACCCTGCAGCCATTTATAGAGTCAGCTTCACTAGGAACATTTAAACGGAAAATGGGGGAATGAGAGGCAGATGCATGGTTCCTCAGAGAAGAACCTGAGTTCTTTTAGCAGAAAAGGGGCAGTAGAGGCAGTAGAGGTGGGGCTGCAAAAATAAGTTCACTTTAAGACCCCACAGTACCAGCAGGTGGCTCTGCACCAGCAGGTGCCCAGCAGTTATTCTGAATTGAATTAGAGGCATTTGCAGGAGCCTAGAGTCCTTATGATCGCCAGTGTAGGTTTCCTATTTCTGTTATTTGAACAGGAACTTCCCCCAGTTTTACAAATGTGTCTGTTTAATTTAAATGCACTAGTCTTGAAAAACTTGAATTCCTCTATAAGGGCTGAAGATCCATGTATTATTACTTTTAAGTTTCACAGTGGTTTACTAAATGGGTTTGTTATATAGCCCAATTTTGCTTTGTTACTAGTTTTAAGAAATAATAAATTCTGCTGTGTTGGGTAGAGATTGTAAAGTTGTGATTATATTTAGACTAGTAAACACTAGAAGTTTTTTCTAAAAACATTCTGTGAATATACACCAAAATGTTGCCAGTGTTTAACAGAGTGTGATAGGATTAGAGGCAGTTTTTTTCTTCTTCTGTTTTCTGTCTCCTACATGACATGCTGTAATACTGCTGACGTAAGCTAGGTGCTTGTTGGTCTCCAGGCCAGTCCTGAGCTGGTATCGCCTAAGGTCCTGTTCCCTGGGGCCCCTTCCAGTTGCCAACGCTGTTCACTCTGCAGTTGTGCTTCCCTGTACTCAGAAGTGATGCACTTTAAATCTGGTGACAGAGAATCTGGGTGACAGAGGACTGATGGTGCTATTTTTTAGGTGCCTATGCTGTGCCCGGTGATGCCTAACGTCTAACCTTCACAACGACCCTGTTGTAAATGGTTTAGGCTAACTGGGACACACAGCTTTACCCCATGCTTGGCACGTATGCGAATGAGCAGTTGGCCCTAAATGGTAGTTTCTGTAAAAAGGTTATGTCTACACCTTAGCCAGATGAGTTAAGTTCCCACAACTCAAGACCGAAGCCCTTACACCCTTAAAGGCCATAGCCCATTTCTCTGTCCCTTCTCTACCACCGTCCACACCACGACTAACAACCTGCATCTCACTGACCACCAAGGAAGGAGGAGAGCTGGAACTTGAAGGGCAGGCACAGGAAATGTGCGGGGCACAGGGAGCAGAGCCTGCAAGGTCCCTGGCTTCTCCCTGGCATGTCAGCCGTAGCTTAAGGACTGGGTCGTCACAACCCCTCCAACTCTCCCCCCACAACAGCCCCTCCAAAAACCCCGCCCTGGCAGCTCAGTGCTGCACTGTGGCCCGAAGACCTGGGAGGGGGCAGTTATTCGCAAGCACAGGCTCTGGTGCTGCAGCCTGACCCCAGCGCCGCTGTGCAGCGCGGCGTTTACTAGTACTGCCTACCATGGACTGTGCTGGCCCCTAGAAACAGTGAAATAAGACAGGAGGGGTCCCAGTCCTGTGGAGCTTATATTTCTTTCTTTTTTTAAATCCTCACCCGAGGATATTTTTCCATTGAGTTTTAGAGAGAGTGGAAGAGAGAGGGAAAGACAGAGAGGTGTCATGTGAGTATTAGATGGGGCCGTGTAGGTGGGGCTGGAGGAGGGGTGGTGCTCACGTGGGCTAGCAGTTGACTTGCAAGCTGCCGATGCTCTTTGGGCTGCAGTGTTCACCGGGCACGGGCTTGGTTGACGGTTGTTTTAGATCCTCTTGAGGCTGATGTGTTATGATTCAGCCTCGGAGCCAGGCAGGCGAGTTGCTTAAAGCACAGAATTGTCGGGGGCTCTCACCCTTCCTCGCACAACTCTGAGCGGCAGTTCCTTCAGTTACAGCCTAAGCCCCACCCGTGATTCTAACTCTTTTTCTAGTCCCATGTAACGATTACTTGGCCGATGTGTAGTCTTAGCTATATTAATGGTGCTTGTTGATGCATTATTCTGAACAAGCATGTCCCATTGAGACATGTTCTGCCCCTAACTTTCCTCTGTGTCAACATTTATGATCTCCACGCGTGAGTTACGCCATTGCCTAGGTAGGAATTGCTGAATACTAGCTCGTGTGTCCATCCACATTTATTTTGGTAAATTCTTTCTCTGGCTGCAACAGAAAACCTGATAACAGCATTTGCACGTTTTATGTTCTCCTTTAGAGCAATCCAAAGTGTTTGTGAAGGTGTTTACTGAAATTGACCGGATGCCCCAACTCCTTGCGTACTACTACAAGTGTCACAAGGTGAGGAGCTGTGCGGGGTCATGCTTGTGGAATCCTAGTTTTCCTGCTCACAGGTAAAAATTGCCTCCTTGCTCTGACCTTTGTCTTTTCATTAGCCAGCAGGGGGTGCTCTGGGTCCAGCCTGGGGATTCAGTCAATTGCCAGTTGGAAAATGAATCAGTTTTGGTCTCATATTTATTTATAGCTCGATTTCATTTATAGACTGAAAAGTTGTTTTTTTTTCCTCTAAGAGAGATTAAGCTTTATTATGCCCTCAGCCAGCCATGAGAATTTCATGTATTTCCTAGGGTGGTTGAAGTCAGGTTCCTGAAAAACTTGACAGTGTCCTGGGCTAACCTGATTTCTTTCAGGTCCGATGCTCATGTGTCATTTAAGCAGTAGTGTTAGAACTTGAAGCTAAACACACCCCCCTTCTGAGGTCCCTTCAGAAGGGTGGAGGCCTGCTGAGGGAAGCACATTGGCCTGCTTTTGGAGCAAGATAAAAGGAGAAAGGATCACTTAGAGGGCACAGATTCAGTTTGGATTGATGATCAGAGCAGGTAACGCTAAGTGGCTTTTCCTGTCTTCTTTGGAAGTGCACGACCATCAGTGGGGCCGTGGTTGCTCAGGAGAGGAGGCAGCAGTGCATTGCTTGCCATGGCAGGGGTACAGGGCGGTTTAGCGGGCAGCATGTGTTGGTGTACTTAGCGGGGCCCCTTTGTTCTGCCCGTGCAGGCGCAGCTTGTAGCAGCTTGGCAAGAGCTGTGCCAGAGCGACCTCCCCCTGGAGCGGCAGCTCACCGGACTCTACGACGTCTTACTCGGAGCTTGGCACACGCAAACCCAATGGGCTACGCAGGTAACAGCTCACTTGGGCTCTGGGGAGAACAAAGCCTTGGTGTCAGGAGACAGGCGTTTGCTCTGGGAGCGGCCTCTCAGCTGCAGCGCACCCCTGAAGAACCTCCCTGCTTGCTGCCGGCAGGGAAGGGGTTAAAGATAAGCTTCCAATCCCAAGGCAGTAAAACCTCCAGATCTGTTAAAGCTCTTATCATCGTTCTTGTCTGTATCTTAAGTAGAATCTAATGTGGCCATGCTCTTGTAGTTCACAGGGGAGCCTGGAATTCCTGAGGCCATTATCTTCTGATCAGAAAGCAGGCGGCTCTTGGTCAGGTGCTGTTTGTGAGAACAAGATCAAGATCATTTTTATCTTAACTTTGGATAAAATTTTCCTGGGCTATAGTTAGTTTCTCTTGTTCTCACAATACCTTGCGAGTTAGCAGAAGAATGTGGTTTTACAGGCACCCTCTGACGGGTCAGCGGGCGAGACTGGGCAACTTCTATGAAGCGGAACCTTTTCATCATTTCTTTCCAAAAATTTCTAGCCGTAAAGGGTGTGAATTATTGTCCCCTTGTCTTTTTATTGATTGGTGGATTTTATTTATTTACTTTAGAGAGGAAAGAAGGGAGAGAGAGATTGAGAGAGAGATTGATTTGCTGTTCCACTTAGTGATGCATTCATGGGTTGATTCTTGTATGTTCCCTGCCCTGGGATGGAACCACAATGTTGGCCCATCGGGATGATGCTCTAACAAACTGACTCCCTTGTCTCAATGCCAGGAGGCCCCCTGGGTCTTCCTTTAGAAGGGAAAAGGCTACCTGACTTCTGAGTGACGACTGACTGGGTCTGTTTATGGTGTGACCTATATATTTTTTCAAACTTAGTTGTGAATCCCTCTTCAGATGTTTGTCAGTCATTTGCTGGAGCGAATTCAGCTGCAGTCGGAGAGAAGTCCTGCAGGGTCATGGCATGCAAGGTGGTGAAGCCACTCTTCTCCATCCTCATTTCTTCCTCCTTTGATCAGCCTAAGTCAGACTAAAAAAGAAAACTGGAAACAGCGTCCTGTAGCAGTTTCACAGTGTTTGTGAGCCCGTAGTTTTCATGGCCCTGTCCACCCGTGCCCTTGCCTCTTCTGCTGATAGCACGAGGATGGAGACAGGCCTGTCCATGTGTACAGATGTTCTTCACCATCTGAGAACAAGGATCTAGACTTCCCAGACTGTGTTCAGGCCTCATCCACAATTCTATATCCTCTGGTAAGGATTAACAACAAGAACAACAACAAAAAATACTTAAAAAACATTAAAAAAAGCATTTATGCTAGGTTGTACTTTGGGCCTGTGACCCATTTTCCTTTCAGGATATAAGCATGGGAGGTGGTTGTCCTCTTCTGAAGTTCAGTCTAGTGCAAAAGGCACCAAGGTTGCTGGGGTGACAGCGTCTCCTTCAGATATTTCCCCTCGTATTTTACTATGAAAACTTCCAACATATAAAAACTGGAAATCATTGTACAGTGAGCACCCGTGTACCCACCTCCCAGGCCCCACAGTGAACATCTTATTGTATTAGCTTTATCACAGGTCTAGGCATCTGTCCATGTGTCTGTCCTGTCATTGACCCATCTTATATTTTTTATTGATTTCAAAGTAAGTTGCAAACATCATTCACTTCAGAACATACATTTTTCTTTAAATCTTTATTATTGAAAGTATTTCATATTCCCCTTTTTTCTTAAAAATATTTTTATTGATTTCAGAAAGAAAGGGAGAGGGAGAGGGAGAGAGAGATAGAAGCATCAATGATGAGAGAGAACTACTGATTGGATGCCTCCCACACGCCCCCCACTGGGGATCGAGCCCGTAACCCGGGCATGTGCCCCTGACCAGAATTGAACCCAGGACCCTTCAGTCTGCAGGCCAATACTGTATCCACTGAGCCAGACCAGCCAGGACAGTCTCCTTTTTCCCCCCATTGACCCCTTTTATTTAGCTCACCCTCGCCCCCAGCCTCAGGCCTTCACCATCTTATTGTCTGTGTCCATGGGTTATGAATATATGCATACAAACAACATTCATATTTTTAACTAGAGTTTAACATTTGTTTATGTTTTTTTTTTTATAAAATTGGGAAATGCAATAATCTTAAATATGCCATTTGATTAGTTTTGACAAATGCAGCTATCTGTGCAGCCTCATCCCTATTAAGATACAGAACATGAGACTATCACCTAGAAAGTTCCCTCATGTTCCCTCCTTGTCAGTCTGCACCACTCCTGGGAAGGCATCCACTCTTCTGATGGTTTCAATCATAAATCAGTTTGCCTGTTTTAGAATTTGATATGAAGGAAGCCTTGCAGTGTGTGTCTTTTCGTAAGGCTTCTTTCAGTGCAGTTTTTGAGATTTATTCATGTGGTTGTGTGTATTAGTAGTTTGCTCCTTTTAAAAAATATATATATTTTTATTTCAGAGAGGAAGGGAGAGAGGGAGAGAGAGATAGAAACATCAATAATGGAGAATCATTGATCGGCTGCCTCCTGCACACTCCGTAGTGGGGATCGACCCCGCCACTCAGCATATTCCTTTGACTGGAATTGAACCCGTATCCTTCAGTCTGCAGGCCAACGCTCTATCCACTGAGCCAAACCAGCTAGGGCACCACTTTAACCATTTTTAAGTGTACAGTTAAGTGGCATTAAGTATATTCACAATGTTTACTATCACCATTATTTCCAGAACTTTTTTTATCATCTCAAATGGGAACAGTGTACTCATTAAGCAATAACTCTCCATTCCTCCCTCCCCCATCACCTGGTAACTACTAGTCTACTATTCCTGTAAATTTTCCTATTGTAGATACGTCATGTCAATGGAATCATACAATATTTGTTCCTTTGTCTGCCTTATTTCACTTAGCATATTTTCAGGCATCATCCATTTTGTAACATGTATCAGAATGTCATCCTTTTTATGACGAAAAATATTCCATTGTATATGCATATGTAACACATTTTGTTTATCCATCCATCTGATGAGAGACACTTGAATTGCTTCTACCCATTGGCTATTGTAAACAATGCCGCTATGAACATTGGTGTACAAATACCTATTTGTGTTTCTGTTTTTTGTTTTTAAGTATTTTTTGTTGTTCTTGTTGTTAATCCTTACCTGAGGATATTTTCCCATTGATTTTTAGAGAGAGTGGAAGGGAGTGGGAGAGACACAGAGAGAAACATTGATGTGAGAGAGACACACCAACTAGTGCCTCCCGCATGTGCCCGGACCAGGGCCGGGGATTGAGCCTGCAACTGAGGTATGTGCCCCTGACTAGAATTGAACCTGGGACCCCTCAGTCCACGGGCCGCTCTGTCCACTGAGCCAAACCCGCTAGGGCTGTGTCCCTGTTCTCAGTTCTTTTGGGTGTATACCTAGGACTGGAATTGTGGGGTCATACTGTAATTTTTTGACATTTGGGGAGCTGCCAACTGAATACCTTTTTTTATATTCCTACCAGCAATGCACAAGAGTTCTAATTTCTCCACATACTTGCCAACACTTGTTTTTTTTTAAAATTTTTATGATAGCCATCCTAGTGGGTAATGTGGTATGTCATTTGTGTTAGCTTATTTGGAGATGTGTCTTTTAAAAAAATATATTTTTATTGATTTTAGAGAGAAAGGGGGAGAGAGAGAGAGATAGAAACATCAATGATGACAGAGTATCACTGATCAGCTGCCTTCTGCATGCCCCACACTGACGATTGAGCCTGCAATCCCTGTATGTGCCCTGACCGGGAATAGAAGAACTGTGACCTCCTGGTTCATAGGTTGACACTCAATCACTGAGCCATGCCAGCCGGGCTGGAGATATGTTTTTTAAAGTATTTTGCCTATTTTTGAGTTGGGTTGTTTGTTTGAATGTTATTGAATTGTGGGAGTTCCTTATATATACCCCTTATCAGATACATGATTTGAAAATATTTTTTCCCCATCCTGTGGGTTGTCATTTTATTCTCTTGATAGTATCTTTTTAAAAAATTTTTTAGAGAGAGAGGAAAATGGAGAGAAGATAGAGAGAAAGAGAAACATTGATTTGTTGTTCCACCCACTTATGTATTCGCTGGTTGATTCTTGTATGTGCCCTGACCAGGGATCAAACCCACAGCCTTGGCATATCGGGAAGACATTCCAACCAACTGAGCAACCTGGCCAGGACTTGATAGTGTCTTTTGATGCACAAAATTTTAAAATTTTGATTTTGTACAATTTATTTTTTCTTTTGTTATCTATGCTTTTGATGTCATACTTAATAAACTATTGCTAAATCCAAGGACATAAGAATTTTTTCCTATGTTTTCTTTTATAGTTTAGCTCTTAATGTTATGAGTTAATTTTTTTTTACAGTGTTAGATAAGAATCCAAAATCGTTCATTTGCATATGGATATACAGTTTTCTGAGCACCATTTTTATTTATTTATTTTATTGATTTCAGAGAGGAAAGGAGAGAGATAGAGAGATAGAAACATCAATGATGAGAGAGAATCATTGATCGGCTGCCTCCTGCACGCCCCGCATAAGGGGGGATTGAGCCCATAACCTGGGCATGTGCCCTTGGCCAGAATCGAACATGGAATCCTTTAGTCTGCAGGCCGATGCTCTATCCACTGAGCAAAACCAGCTCGGGCTGAGCACCATTTGTTGATATGCTTGTCCTTTCCCCTATTGAATGGTTTTGGCACCTACTATTATGTTAAACATAATTTGACCACTTATATGAAAGTTTATTTCTGAGCTCTCTATTCTACTCTGTTGGTTTATATGTTTTTTCTTAAGCCAGCACTACACTGTTTTGATTATTGGAGCTTTGTAGTAAGTTTTGAAATTGGAAAGTATGAGACTGCTAACGTTCTTTTTCAAGATTGTTTTGGCTGTTTGGAACCCCCTGAAATTCCATGTGCATTTTAGGATGGGCTTTTCCTTTTCTCCATAAAATATCATTGGAATTTTGAAGGAGTTGCATTGAATCTGTAGATCGCTTTGGTAGTTATTACCATCTTAACAATATTAAGCCTTCCAATTTATGAACATGGAATGTTTGCCATTTTGCTTGTGTGTTCTTTAATTTCTTTCAGCAGTGTTTTGTTGTTTTTGGTGTACAAGTCTTTCAGCTCCTTGATTGTGTTTATTTTTAAATATTTTATTCTTTTTGATGCTATTGTAAATGGAATTGTTTTCTTAATTTTCTTTTCAGATTGTTCACTGTTAGTGTATAGAAACACAATGGATTTTTTTAAAATTAAAATATTTTAATTAATTTTTGAGTATGATGTTAGCTGGAGTGTTTTCATAAATTGTCTTTATCATGTTATGGAAGTTTCTTTCTATTACTAGTTTATTGAATTTTTATTATGCTTTTCCTGCATAAATTGAGATGATCATGTATTTTTCCCTTTATTCTGTAAATGTGCGACATTACATCGTGTATATTACATTTGTGTATATTGAACCATCCTTGCATTCTGGAGATGCGTTTCACTTGGTCGTGGTGTATAATCTTTTTAATGTGCTGCTGAATTTGGTTTACATGTATCTTGTTTAGGATTTTTGTATTCATAAGGGATATTAGTATATAATTTCCTTTTCTTTTAGTCTCTGTCTTACTTTGGTATCAGGGCGATGCTGGCCTCTTAGAATGAATTTAAAAGTGTTCTGTATTAGTTTGCTAGGGCTCCTATAACAAAGCACCACAGATCAGGTGGTTTAGGTTTAAACAGCAGGAATTCATTTTCTCACAGCTCTGGAGGCTAGAAGTTTAAGATGAAGATCTCAGCAGGGTTGGTTTCTTTCTTCCTTTTAAAAATCTTTATTGTTGAAAGTATTACGTATGTACTGTCCTCCCCCCCCCCCCATTGACCCTTTCTAGCCCCGCCCCAGGCCATCACCATCCTATTGTCTGTGTCCATGGGTTATGCATATATGCATACAAGTTGTTTGGTTGGTCTCTTCCCACCCCCTGCCTTCTCTTTGAGATTCAACAGTCTGTTCCATGTTTCTAAGTCTCTGGATCTATTTTATTCAACAGTTTATTTTGTTCATTAGATTCCACATATGAGTGAGATCATGCGATACTTGTCTTTCTCTGGCTGGTCTATTTCGCTTAGCATAATGCTCTCCAGGTCCCTCCATGCTGTCTCAGAGGGAGCTGGGTTGGTTTCTACTGAGGCCTCTCCTTGGCTTGCAGATGGCTGGTTCTCCCAGTGTCCTCACATGGTCACCCCTCAGTGTGCCTGTGTCCCAGTCTGCTCTCATAAGGATTAGGGCCCACCCAGATGACCTTATTTTACCTTAGTTGCCTCTTTATTGACTTATTTATTTATTTTTAAAAAACCCTCACCCAAGGATATTTTTCCATTGAATTTTAGAGTGGAAGAGAGAGGGAAAGACAGAGAGAAATACTTATGTGAGAGAAACACAGCGATTGGTTGCCTCCTGCATATGTCCTGACCAGGCCTTGGGCTGGGAAGGAGCCTGCAACTGAGGTATTTGCCCTTGACCAGAATCGAACCCGAGACCCTTCTATCTGCAGGCTGATGTTCGCCACCGAGCCAAGCTGGAGAGGGCCTTAGCTGCCTCTTTGAAGGCCCTCCCTCCAAATGCGGTGCATTCCGAGGCACTGGAAGGGGTTTGGGTTTCTACGCATGAATTTTGGGGAGGGGGGAGGGCGTGGACACAATTCAGACCACAGCACGTCTCTTCCTCTTCAGTTTTTGGAAGAGTTTGAGAAGGATTCATGTTAATTCTTCCTTAATTGTTTGGTAGAAATTCATCAGTGAAGCCATCTGTTCTGGGTTTTTCTTTGTTGGGAGGTTTTTGATTATTGATTCAATCTCCTTACTAGTTATAGGTCTGTTCAGATTTTCCATTTCTTCTGAGTCAGTTTTGATAAATTTTATTTTTTAATTTGTCCATTTCATCTAAGTTAATTTGTTGGCATACAATTATTCATGATAATCTCTTATAATCCTTTTTATTTCTATAAAATTGGTAGTAATGTCTTCACTTCCATGTTTAATTTTATTAATTTGAGTCATCCCTCTTTTTTCTTCGTCAATCTAGATAAAGATTCGTCCATTTTAATTTTTTCAAAGAACCGATTTCTAGTCTTATTGATTTTTAAATTGATTTTTCTATTCTTTCATATATTTCCGCTCTAATCTTTATTATTTTTGTTCTTTTGCTATTGTTGAGTTTAGTTTCTTTTTTCTAGTTTCTTAATGTGTACAGTTAGGCTACTGATTTGAGACATTTCTTTCTTAATGTCTGCATCTGCAGCTATAAATTTCCCTCTTAGCACTGCTTATGCTTATCCCCTAAGTTTTGCTATTTAGTGTTTTCATTTTCATTTATCTCAAGGTATTTTCTAATAAAAATTTTAATTTATTGATTTTGTAGTTATTAAACTCATACCTTATTTGGCCTTAGAGCTGCATAAGAACAGTCTTATATCTTGCTTCATGTTTGTGCATATTTAAGTTATCTATATATATGTAAAAGCCTAAGCGACCAGCCGACCATTCTACCATCCGACCGGTAGCTATGAGGTACACTAACTACCAGGGGGCAGACAATGCAGGAGCTGCTGAGCTGTGGTGATTTGGCAGCTGCGGTTCTCGGGTGACTCACCCGGAACCAGAGAGGAGGGAGCCTGATTCCGGGGTGCGTCATCCGAGAACCACCCTCTCGCAATGTGGGACCCTTCCAGGGATGTCGTCGAGCCGGTTTCGGCCTGATTCCCACAGGCCAGGCCGAGGGACCCCGGATTCGTGCACGGGGCCTCTAGTGTGATAATAAAAAAGTATTTAATCAGCAGTGGTGGTCTGAAAGCATCCCCTTCTAAATTCACTGTGTATGTGATTAGTTTAGTCCAAGGTACCTGTCGTTCACAGAATGGGGTAAAGCTTCAATGAACAGATGAATCTATAATCTGAAAGGCTCTGGATACACTATTCCTGGTGGTCCTTCCCTTTACTGAAGATCTGTGTCAAGAGGAGAGGTGGCTGCGAGCTGGAAGGTCCTCCAGCTTCTTTTCAGTGAATTGCTCTTTAATTCCATTTTGTTCCCTCTTCTAAACCCTCCCAATTTCTGCATTGTCATCTTCACAGCCCTCTCTTGCCAGTTTTTGGTGACCATCTGAATACCCCATTTCGTAGATTTGAAATAGTTCAGCACTTGGGGCCTGTGATGGGCATGAAGTAGCCAGTTGTTCTGGACAAGTTGCAGGTCCTGCCAGTTCTCTTGGTTCTGAGCATGTTCACATCTGCTGTGAAGAAAACTTGGGGTTCATAGCTCTTTTTTTTTTTTTGAGCTCAGGTCAAGTGTAGAAACCTTCATAATTACAAAGGTCAGTAGTCAAACCTTTTCATCATTGCTCAGAACTGATCAGCCTTTCAAACATATATGTCCCCCGCCTTCCCACCCTGTCTCATTCATCCATCAGCAAGTCCTCAGTTATCCACTGTCACCTTTACAAACACAAATACACGCACACACACACTCATTGTTTTAAATTACTTTATGCGTTTGCTTCTCCGAACTAGAGAGATCATGCGTCAGGTGGACTGGAAGGTCTCCTGATGCTCAGTCTTGGCTATTTCCATCACTGACCCACTTCAGTAGAGGCTCATAGCTCTTGATTTGACCCTTGGAGCGGTCCAGGAGATTGCTTCCTTAGGAGGCATGCACCCATTTGATCACGCGTGCTAACGCATGTGCCCTCTCCCACTGCAGGTTTTCAAGAACCCCTACGAGGTGGTGACTGTGCTGCTGATTCAGACCCTGGGGGACTTGGCACCCTCTCTGCCCATGTGCCTGGGCTCCAGTGTGGAGCGGGCGGGGCCCGAGCTGGAGCTCCCCAAGCTGCTGGAGCTGTACGCTGCCACTGCCCACTTTGCCAAGGGGCTGGAGATGGCCCTGCAGCCCCACTCAGGTAAACACCCTCTCCCAGGCTCTGGCTTGTCTTTACTCACTTTTGTTCACGCTTCTGAGGCCTGGGTTGGTTTGCCTTTTTAGGCGACTGATTTTACAGCAATGGGAGGAGTCACTGTTTTCCTTCTCGACAGACATGAAACCCTTTTCCACGAAAGCAGTGCCATTATGGGAACAGTTGCTGCTTAATGCATTTACCCAGCAGCAGTGCTGCCGGTGCTCGGCTCGCTCGGAGGCGATGGGCCTTTCTGAGGGTCTTAGGCGGTGAAAGAGGCGGGTAGACGTGGCCACCAGTTGGCAGAGGTTCCTTTGGGAAGGTAGTGTCCTCTTCCTTTATTTACAACTTCTTTTTCTCAGTCCTCACCCAAGGACATGCTCATTGATTTTTAGAGAGGAAGGAAGAGGGAGAGTAAGGAGGAGGGAGAGAGAAAGAGAAACATTGACATGAGAGAGAAACATTGATCTGTTGCTTCCCACATGTGCCTCCCCTGGGATTGAACCTGCAACCCAGGAATGCGCCCTGACCGGGAATCAAGCCCTCAACCCCCTTGGTGTACGGATGACGCCCAACCAGCCGAGCCACCAGGCCGGGGCAGTGTCCTCTTCCTCTTAAATAATCATATCGCCTCAGGCAGTTCAGCCTAAAAGTTAGGTTTCAGAGGAGTTTTTTGCTGTGACAAGTTTTGAGCAGGGATGCTGTGTCAGGACTGAGGTGGCCGCAGGGAGAATGGGCATCCCCCGCTGCCACTGAGAGCAGAGCACTTCCTGTCTTCGTTCAGGCACGTGATGCTGAGGGTGCCGCGCAGCCCCAGCTGTTTCCATCTGTTCCTAAAGCACCATCAGCTTTTAGGTACCACAGACGTCGCGACGCATGCTGCTGTCAGATCAGGAAGTAGCTCCAGGAAGGGCTGCTTGTGCTGTGTGGCTACTGTGTCACCAGCTCAGCTTATTTAATAGTTATTCTTTAATTACACTGGCATATAATTGCCTTGGACATTCCAGGGAGCATGTTTATTGTTCAGGCTCCTGGTGATTCATAGGTGTTATTGGCACACTCACTGGTCAGGTCTTGGTTGTGGGAGAGGCACGGTGGCTGTGCAGCTTCCAGGGGACCAGGGGTGCCCTTCCAAGTGGCCGGAGAGGGTGTGGAGACCATGCGTCCTGCTGGAGCCGAGGGGCCATGGACAGTGTGCAGAGAGGAATGAGGAGAGAAGTGCTTTGGTAGTCAGCATAGTGGGTAAGATCGCTAATGGTTCCTAAAGCGAGTTTTAAAAAGGTATTTTTTAAAATGTAAAAGTCCTTTGGAAACACAAAAATAAAGAGGATAAAAATGAGCTGTAACCTTATCGCTCGGAGAGAGCCTACAACATTCTGTATTGCCTCCCAGTAATTCAAATACAAATACACATTTTTCATAAATACATGTAAATACTTTATATGCACACACATGCATATGTGTATATATTTTTAAATATTTGTTGTATACAATTTTATATTCTCTTTTTTTGCTTAAGACAATGTAAGGAGCATTTTCTTATGTCATTAAATGTTTAATGGCCACTTTATAACTATGAGTTACTATAACTTTTTATTCATTCTTGGAACAGTTTGTGTCAAAAAGCAAGAAAGCACTTAAAGACTGATAGGGACACATCATAAAGGTACAGGCGCCAACCTGAAGGAGCAGCCACTGACCATAGTTGAAATTTGAACATTAAAATGAATAATGACAATAGTGGCTGAAAACACAATGAATAAAAAAGGATTCATGAGTTCATAGTGATATTAAAGAGTGAGAAAGAACCCTGGCTGGGTGGCTCAGGTGGTTAGAGCATCGTGCCATGCACCAAAAGGCTGTCGGTGCGATTCCCGTTCAGGGCACACACCTAGGTTGCAGTTCAGTCCCCAGTCGGTGCATGTGGGAGGCAACCGAAAGATGTTTCTCTCTACAGTGATGTTCCCTCTCTCCCTCTTTCCCTCTCTCCCCTCTCCCTCCCTGCCCCCTCTTTCTCCCCCTCCTTAAAAATCAATAAAAACATACCTCGGTGAGGATTTAAGTAAAAAAAGAGAGAAAGAGAGAAAGGAAAAATCCATTTATGGTCAGTAATGATAAAGTCTATTCAGGCAAAGATTATCAATGGGTGCCAAAGCCAATGGGCAAATGGTCATCTTAGAAGTTGAATTGCTGTCATTTAAATTTTTGATACAGAAGTTTTACATTTTTATGTGTTGAAGATGGGCATTTCGGGAATCCCCGGTGTGAGCACCTGTTCTGCAAAGCCCGGGAGAAGGCTCCCCTGCAGGGCCTCTGCATCATTCGAAGATGTTCTTTTTCTTTTCTTTTTGACTTTAAATAATTTTTTGTTTTTCAGTTACAATATGAAGGGGTTCTTAACCACAATGGGTTGTTGGAGTTAGGGGGTGAGAGCTTTAATAGTGCTTTAGACAAACAATACACAGAGTTCAAATGTATCAAGATATTTGTGAATGCTGCAGCTCGCAGGGACAGTACAGGCTGGTGACGGTAGCTACCCTGAGAGGAAACAGGAGAGTCCCAGTCCCTGTCCCTGTCGTTTCCCAGGACTGATTTCTGACTGTGTTCACGATTGCCTCTCCCTTCTTATTCCCTGAAGACGAGCACAACCCGGTGAAAGTCATGGAGCTGGTGGGTGCTGTTTACGGTCCGTACAAACCCTACCAGCTCAGGTACGGCGAGATGGAAGCCCAGAACCTCCTCATCCAGATCAGTGCGGTGCCTCTGGTAATGTCCCCACCTCCACTGGCCGCTTGGCTCATTCTCTTTGCCAGGCAAGGGTTGGGGATGGCATGCCCTGGAGAAGGTGTGAGGTGGCCTCAGGTGTGCACGGAGGTGGAACAGGTGTGCAAAGACCGGCCTTAAGGGCCATGTGGGCTCTTGGGAACCAAATGTAAGATGAGACCACAGATGTGCACTCCCAGTTTTCTACTTCAAATCTCCAGTAACAGTTTAGCCAAATGGGAAGCTTCCATCTGGTGGGGATAAGTTGATTGTTTCCTCGTTAACATTTTTTTAATAATTCCTTGTTGTTGTTGTTTATCCTCCCCTGAGGTTATTTTTTCCACTGATTTTTAGAGAGAGTGGAAGGGAGGGGGAGAGACAAAGAGAGAGAAACATTGATATGAAAGACATATCGATTGGTTGCCTCCCACACATACCCTGACTGGGCTAGGGATCAAACCTGCAACTGAAGTTCGTGCCCTTGACCAGAATCAAACCCGAGACCCTTCAGTCTGAGGGCTGACACTCTAACCACTGAACAAACTGGCTAGGGCTTTAATAATTAAAAAAAAAAATTTTTATTTCAGAGAGAGGAAGGGAGAGAGAGAGAGAGAGAGAGAGAGAAACATCGATGATGAGAGAGAATCATTGACTGCCTCCTGCATGCCTCCTACTGGGAATTGAGCCCACAACCTGGGTATGTGCCCTGACCGGGAGTAGAATCATTGCCTCCTGGTTCATGGGTTGATTTAATTTTTTGGCCATCTTTTGTTTGAGGCAGATGAGCAAGGGGTGCATCAGCGGGCACTTACAGACAGGGCTCTAGGGGCACTGGAGGGGAAGGAAGGTCGTGTCTCGGGCAGGTGTTAAGGTTGGTGTGAGGTGAGTTGACATGGTAGTTCAGTCTGCCTCCTCACCACTGTTCCACTTTCCGGGGATGCACCAGGAGAGTGTTCTGCTTCAGTGACATGCTGGCCCCTGAAGGAGGCGTTTGCTTTTCCCTGCATTCTTTTGGAAAGTCTGATACAGAGAATTTGAGTCCTAGCTTGAGAACAGGAGAGAAAGATGCCATGTTAATCACGTGAAAAGAGGGAAGGGATGAAAATGTAAGGATGCATGTCAGGATTTGATTACACCTTTCTGCCAGGAGTTAATTTCTGTGATCTCTCTGGCCACTTAAACTGCTCTCCTCCACTTCAGGATGGTGAAGAGCTATCCCAGTTGGGGACTGCATTTTTATTTATTTTTTAATTCTTACTTGAGGGTATTTTTTCATTGATTTTTAGAGAGAGGGAAAGACAGAGAGAAATATTGATGTGAGAGAAATACATCGATTGGTTGCCTCTTGCACGAGCCCAGACCAGGGCCCAGAGCCTGCAGCTGAGGTACATGCCCTTGATCGGAATCGAACCCAGGACCCTTCAGTCCAAAGGCTGATGCTCTATCCACTGAGCACCACTGGCCACGGCGGGGACTGCATTTGTGATGTCCCTGCTGAGTGATGTCACCGTGGATGAGGAGGCTTGAAAGGCACCCGTCTCAGTGTTGTCTGTTTGTTCTCAAGTCTGAGGTGGCTTGTGTTTGTCCGTGTTTGCTGACCAGGAGCATGGGGAAGTCATTGACTGCGTGCAGGAGCTGAGCCACTCTGTGAGCAAGCTCTTCGGCCTGGCATCCGAGGCTGTTGACAGATGTATCCGATTCACCAACGGCCTGGGGACCTGCGGCCTGCTGACAGCCCTGAAATCCCTCTTTGCCAAGTAAGGCTGGGCAGAGGGGGCAGGGCCGCCACATGGGAGGGCAGCGTCTGCCCCAGTAAATGCATGTGTCCCATACGCCTGCTTTGAACCCTGGGGGAGCACGCACCCCAGAGCGCAAGGGGTGCTCCGCAGGATGTTTTTTAGAGAGACATTCCAGCAGCCTGAATGTCCATTAAGTTGGGCAGTGGCTCCATGAGATATGGTGTATTCACACAGGGACCTCTATGCAGCACTTAAGGTATGAATTCTGTCTACACGCACCAACATGGATAGAGCTCAAAAAGATTGTTGGAATAAAAACCAGTTGTAGAATAATATATAAAGTCTCTTACTTTATGTAAAAGGAACATACACAATCTAGGGCAGTGGTTCTCAACCTTCCTAATGCTGCGACCATTTAATACAGTTCCTCATGTTGTGGTGACCCCCAATTTCATTGTTACAAATTGAACATAATTAAAGCATAGTGATTAATCACAAAAACAATATGTAATTATATATGTGTTTTCCGATGGTCTTAGGCGACCCCTGTGAAAGGGTCGTTCAACTCCCAAAGGGGTCACGACCCACAGGTTGAGAACTGCTGATCTAGGGTGTATTTTCTGTATTGGGATTTGGAAAACCTTTTCTGCAAAAGGCCAGATGGTAAGAATTTTTGGCTTTTGGGCCTTCCGGTCAATGGAGACCTTTGTGGCACCTGCCTTACTATCCTAGGAGCAGAGGTAGATGACACATAAATGAATGGGTGTAGCTGTATTCTACTACAACTTCATGTGCAAAAACCAGTGTCATCCTCTGTTCTGGATCTTTTTTTAAAAAAAATATATTTTTATTGATTTCAGAGAGGAAGGGAGAGGGAGAGAAAGATAAAAACATCAATGATGAGAGAATCATCGATTGACTGCCTCCTGCACGCCCCACACTGGGGATCAAGCCTGCAACCTGGGCGTGTGCCCTTGACCAGAATTGAACCTGGGACCAGTCAGTCTGCAGGTCGATGCTCTACCCACTGAGCCAAACCAGCCAGGGCTGGATCTTTTTTAAATACTTTAAAAAGCATTATGTTTCTGTGAAGTCGAGGTTGGCAAACTCCAGCTCATGAGCCAAATCTGGCCTGCCATCTGTTTTTGTAAATAAAGTTTTATGGGACACAACCATCTCTTTCACTTACCTATGGTGTGTGACTGCTTCCTACTGTGAGGTAGAGTTGAGTAGTTAGGGTAGAGACTTGTGACTCTCAAACCCTAAAAGATCTGGACCTTAACAGAAAGTTTGCTGAGCCCTGATGTGGAAGGTTAGACAACAAACTCAAAAGACTGGTTATCTTTGGAGAGATGGGGAAGGACTAGGGTGGTGGCCATACTGGATTTAGTTTTATTTCTTAGTTTCTGTTTAAGAAGGAGCATACATACATTCACATATTTCTTAGGTAATTAAAAATAAATAATAAAAAATATGTAAGCATTATGCTGAGTGAAAGAAGCCAGCCACAAAGGCCCACGTGACACGATTCCATCCACATGAAATGTCCAAACAGGCAAACGTAGAGAGACAGAAAGACCAGTGGGTGCCTCGGGCTGCGGGGAGGACCATTTGGGAGAGATGGGGGATGATTGCTAAAGGGTAAGGGGTGTCTTTGGGGCAGTGAACATGTTCTGAAGTTGATTGTGGTGATGGCTGCATTAAAAAGCGGTGAATTGTGCTCTTTAAGTGGGTGTATGTGCAGTAGGTGAGTCATATCACAATAAAGATGTGGAAGGGAAGAAAGAAGGGGAAACTAAAATCAAGCCAAGTTAGAAAGAAGAAAGGGAAGAAAGCAGGGTCAGGTTGGATTCTCTGCCAGTCCCTGAGGGAGGGCCCTTGGTGAGAAGGCAGCCTCTGGCTTGGAGACAAGTGCATTCTTGGGCTCTCCAGGAGGCCTGCCTCCGTGGCCTGCTCTGGAATCCAGTCGCCTTCAGTCTCAAGTAATTCCTTTTATTGGACTGAATGGTGTTTGATGTTGAAAGTTTAGGGAGCTCTTGTCATTCCAGAAATACTGAGCACGCCCCGGGAGCTCTGAGGGTCCTTGGGCCCTGTGCTCCCTGTCACCCCGGCAGTCAGCACTCCGAGGGCGGCTCACAGCATCGGCCTACGTCCTGTCAAGGACGTGTGCTGCTCACAGACAGACGTGCGACCAGAGGGGTCCAGGGGTGCTCCTGTAGGAAGAGAAGCATCGGCGACAAGCTTAATCAAGTAGAATTTGACCTCTTTTCTGCCACCAACTGGGGTTTGGTGGATGGAAAGAATTTGAGATCTCGAAATTTTATTGTAAAACAAAAGCAACGCCTTTAAAATAATTTTTAAAAAAGAAAAGGTATAAAAATGGAAAGCCTTCCTTTTTTCCTTTCTTCTGACTCTCAGGCCTTCTTGTTAGGACTGACGAGCTGTGGACCTTTCGCTCTTAGTCGTCTGTTCCCTCCAGACTTTCAATGTGTTTTGCTTCTCAGCCGTGAATGACGAGGCACTGAGCTGATTCAGGCCAGTCCTCCTTCGTGCCCTGCTTCTCCCGGCTCTTGTCAGGGACAGTTTTACTTTTTTTTTTTTAAATATGTTTTATTGATTTTTTACAGAGAGGAAGGGAGAGGGATAGAGAGTTAGAAACATCGATGAGAGAGAAACATCAATCAGCTGCCTCCTGCACACTCCCCACTGGGTATGTGCCCGCAACCAAGGTACATACCCTTGACTGGAATCGAACCCGGGACCCTTGAGTCTGCAGGCCGATGCTCTATCCACTGAGCCAAACCGGCTAGGGCCAGTTTTACTTTTTTTTTTTTAGGATAAGTAATTTCACATATTACTTGGGTTCTTATTTTTATTGATTAAGGTATTACATATGTGTCCTTATTCCCCCATTGCCCCCCATTCCCCACTCATGCCCTCCTCCCCTCCCCCCGTTGTCTGTGTCCATTGGTTAGGTTTATATGCATGCATACAAGTTCTTTGGTTGATCTCGCCCCCTTACCCACACCCTCCCCTACCTTCCCTCTGAGGTTTGATGGTCTGATCGATGCTTCTCTGTCTCTGGATCTGTTTTTGTTCAACATTTTTACTTTTAGTTTATTATTGGTTATTTTGACTACTTTATTTAAAAATAATAACACACATCTGTGTTAGAGCTTCAAATGGAAACCGGTTGCTTGCTCTTAGAAGGAGAGATTATGAAGCTGCTAAGACAGCTGATGTTATAAAGTCGGGGACACAGGGTGACGCTGACTTGTGCAGGGTTCGAGGGGGACAATGTTCAGTAGAGGGCAGGGAATGGAGGGCAGAGCAGGAGGAGATTGGCCTAATTTGAACCAGGGTGATGCTGCAGAATTTAGCAGCTGATATGGTGTCAGAGAATTCGGGGTTTACAGCTGTGATGGAAGCGTGGGCTCTGGAGTTGGGGTCACCTGGGCTCAGATCCTGGCTCTGCCACTTACTGGTCGGGACCTTGGGTGGGTAAGCGCACCTCTGGGAGTCTGGGTGTCTCCTCTGAGAGGGTGATAACATTCCCTTTCCTAGTTGTGGCCATTAGGGAAAGCGCGTCATTGGACCCCTAAGCAAGGCTCCATGGCAGAGGAAATGCTGATTGTGAGAGCATGGGAGGGTGGGGACAGAGGTGATGCACACTGGTCTGCTCACCACCCCCAGGACTCTGTCCTCCGAGCGTCTGCAGAGCACGCCTGTTGGATGTGTATTCTTCGGCGTGTTTGTCAGCCGCAGGGTGGTGACACAGTTGTCTGCCTCCTACAGCTGAAGCCCAGTTCCTCAGCAGTCCTTTGCTATGTTGTCCTGGAGGCCTTCCCCTCCCAGGGGCTGCTTTCCCAAGAAAGCTGTCACCGTCTTGGTGGTAAGGGAAGGTGCTGTCAAGATTGGGGTTTCGGGGCTCTCCACGGTAACGGGGAGGCCTTGGACAGGAGCAGCCGTGGCCGCTGTGGGCGGGCTGGCGGAAGCGGTTTCTGCTGCTGGGCTCCTGGAATGGCCTTTCTTTCCAGCACATGGATGTGCCCCTCGGGCTGGGCTGGGCCATTGCCTCCACTCTCCTCACTGTGAGAGTGCAGCCTGCGGTCTGGGAAGCAAGAGAGGCACGACTTCCTATGATGCCACAGGTGCCATAGGTTTTCAGGGAGCCTCTTGGCTCCCAGAGAGCACGACCCCCAGCTGTGTGCTCAGCACACTCCCGAGGCCGTGCACTCACCTGTGCGTGTGCTAACAACTGTCCCTTAAAATCGACACCCCACAGCATGTGTGTCATACTTGTCAGAAAACGCCTGTGCGTATTGACTCATTTATTTTAGCATCATGACAACTCCAAGGCAATTCAGAAGGCGTCACTAAGTCCATTTTTAAAAACTTCCAACAAAACACTTTGCCGTAAATTTTGAAATTCTTTAAAAAATTTATGAATTGATTGGGGTGACATTGGTTAATAAGGTTATATAGGTTTCAAGTGTACATTTCTATGACATATCATCTGTATATTGCATGGTGTGTTCACACAGTCAGGTCTCGTTCTGTCACCATATATTTGCCATCGAAGTAACTTCATTAAGTCAGTAATTAAATTTTAGTAGTTTGCTTTCTCGTCAGGTGTATTTTGGAACTATAAAAGCATGAGGAAATTAAGATATCGTGAAATTTCTTTAAAATACTTTATGACCTTAATACTACCAGTTTACTTTTAGTTCTTTTAACTTAATTATTGTTTAGAATAAAGTTCTCTAAATCTGTATTTATTTTGGGAGGAGGTACTTTGTGATAACAGCCTTAGATGACATAATGGAGAACAGCAGATACTATAACGCGAGGCCCAGGGTTGGGGAGGCTGAAGGTCTGGGGCCGTCATGAAGCTGCTGTGGCCCTGACAAATGAGATGGCCAGAGCAGACGGCCGTCGGCAGAGGCCCTAGAGGCCCCTGTGGGTGAGGAGTAAGTCTGTTTGAAACAGGTTCAGAAACATGTAGGTACTTGCCCAGGCCTATAGTCAAGTCTTCATTCAGGGCTTATTTCTGATGTCTCCTTTATTTTATTTTTTATTTTATTTTATTTTATTTTTTAAATATATATTTTATTGATTTTTTTTTTTTTTTTTTACAGAGTGGAAGGAAGAGGGATAGAGAATTAGAAACATCAAAGAGAGAGAAACCTCAATCAGCTGCCTCCTGCACACCCCCTACTGGGGATGTGCCCACAACCAAGGTATATGCCCTTGACCGGAATCGAACCCGGGACCCTTCAGTCCGCAGCCCGATGCTCTATCCACTGAGCCAAACCAGTTAGGGCTATTTTATTTTTTAAAATATATTTTTATTGATTTCAGAGAGGAAGGAAGAAGGGGAGAGAAAAACATCAATGATGAGAGAATCATTGATTGGTTGCCTCCTGCACATCCCCCAGGATAGAGCCCACAACCCAGGCATGTGCCCTGACGGGAATCGAACCATTACCTCCTGGTTCATAGGTCGATGCTCAACCACTGAGCCACGCTGGCCGGGCTGGTGTCTCCTTTGTGCCAGCTCTGTGCTATTCCTGGGGATACGACCATGAGCTACAGTGGGACAGTCCCTGTTCTCTTAGAGCTTCTAGTCTAACAGTAACAAGAAACATGGAGCACAGAGTTTAAATAAGCGGCCGGGTTTTACTTAGGTGCTGGGAAGGAAGTATGCAGTGTGCAGTGGGAGCAGGCAGCACCGTCTCTGAGGAAGGGGATTTCAACTTTGAATCCGGTGTAATTTGTGCCATTGAAGTCGGGCTCTTCCTGTCTTGGAGTTGGCCATTTAGTCCAAATTTGGGAGGTTAGAATGCAGCAAAAGTACCCTGGGCATCAGGGAACTGCCTTATAGCATCCCAGGTAACAGTCGGGTATTGTAGTGGGTCCATGAGGCTTAAAACAGTTCTTTGAGCCAGTTTCCAAAGAATGCGTCTGTTAGGACAAGGGAGTAATTTGCCTGCATTGTTTTTTACCTGGCGGGTCTCCAGAGTCGTGGTCTTCAGGGCTGTCCCCTCCCCTCCCTGAGCAGCTGTTAAAGACCTCTGGGTGTCAGGGTTATGAGCTGTCTCGCCTTGGGAAGGAGCCTCTGAAGGCGCTCTCACGGTCATTAGCACCGGTCCAGACTGTGATCCAGGAGTCTGTAGGTCTGAGGAGTTTATGACCACAGCCCTGTCCCTTTTCCTTTCCCCACAGGTATGTGTCTGACTTCACCAGCACTCTCCACTCGATCCGCAAGAAGTGCAAGCTGGATGACATTCCTCCCAGCTCCCTTTTCCAAGAAGATTGGACGGCCTTTCAGAACTCCATTAGGTGACGTGGGGTTGCAGTTGGAGCACGTGCCTCATGCAGGCTGCACCGACATGCGCAGTCTAACATATAAAATGACAAGTGTGTTCGTAAGGGATCGTTCTTTTCTCTTTTACTGCATTTCTTTTAAAGCAAATACAGTGGGGCCTTGACTTACGAGTTTAATTCGTTCCGAGACCGAGCTCGTTAAGGAGCTCGTTAACTCAAATTACTCTATCAACTCAATGCAAAAAATCGGCTGAGAGACAGCTGGTATCTCAAAAAACTCGTTAGTCGGGACACTCGTAAGTCAAGGCCCCACTGTACTCTAGACTCTAAAAACAAGACCATGAATAAAAGCCCAACCAAACTAGACAAACACCAAAAAGACTCCTCTTGCTTTAAAAATATTTTTATAAGTTCTTTATAAACTCCTCATCTCTTATGATGACTTACATGTGTACATTTGGTTTAAGATTTTCTCCCCCTTAGCCTATAGTTCTTAGAGACCTGAAAGAGCTTAGAGCTTACGCTGTGGCAGAGGCCTCGCAGCCGGCTCCTGTTGCTGGGTCTGGGCGCCATGGTGCCAGATGACGGGCAGTGCTGCCTGGTTGCGTTGGCCCCGAAGGGGCCCTCCCAAGCGGTCGTGGCAGCCAGCTCCTGAGACAGCCGGTGTGGCCTGTGGGGCAGTGGGTAGACACCTGTTGCCCCAGCGGCCTGATCAGTTTGGCCATTGATAGGTCCAGCCAGAGAGTACAGATGGCTGGCCTGTGGCCAAATCTGACCTGTGGACATGTTTGGTTTGATCACAGCATTACAGAATGTATTGGATTAGTTGCTCACATTTAAATGAAAAACCTGATTGAACATACCTAGATTTCTCACAGCACTTAGAAATTGGAACCTCTGGAAGCACCAGGCCCACATTGCCCCAAGACAGGACCCACGGGGGTTGGCAGCCGCAGTCCCCGTGAGACCGGCCGTACGTTCTCTGCTGTGCTGTGGTTCTGCCATTGCCAGGGGCTTGCTAGCTATACCGTTAGGCTGAGATAAAAAGCAATCTAGAAATTGCTTTGCCTTAAAATCATTCTTCTTGGATATACATTCTGAAAAGAGAAGCTGCTCTTTCCCCACTTGCATTTCTTGCCCGACCTGTGGCCGAGGTGGTGTGTGCAAGGTGCCGGGACACATGGTTTCGTGCAGTCGTCCACTGAGCAGCTCCAGGCCTCCCTCAGTCACTGGATACAGGACCTCCCAGCACCACTTGGATTATCCCCTCATGGGCTCCGACTAGACTTGACGTTTTTTATGAGATTTAGTGCCCTAGATGCTCCTGTACACCTGTCATCTGTGTGGCCGGGAATGCCAGAAAGTGTTGTGTACAGGTTGTACCTGAGGCAAGTGGAGTCGTTCACTTTCTCAGAAACCCTTCTTATGATGGAATGCCTAGATAGCCTGGTGATGACAGGCACTTTTAGAGAAAGTTAAAAGTTAACTAGACTTAAGATGTTTTTAATCCTTGGATTTGTCCTGCATTATAGTTTGGTGTTGAAGGACCCAGGAGCCTAGCATAAAATTACTTGCAAATTAAGATTGTTAAGGACAGATCTGATGATCATTCGGGCTTATCTCTGAGAAACAAGTGGATTACTCTCCATCTGCCTTTCATGTGATCAGAGAGAGAATTTTCTAGTATCAAGACAGTTTTCTATGCCTGACAAATGGCAGGCATCTAACAAACATTAAATAATGAACTGTGGATTTTAAATTTTAGATACGGAGTATTTTCAGTCCATTTTCTCAAGGACAAAGCCCCAAAGCACCTGAGTCGTTGAAAATGTAAAGTTATTTGAGATCATATTGGATAGAACTGTGACTCTTAGCAGAGAGGCCTGTGACGTGAGGATATTAGAAGAGGCTGTCATTTACCTTTTATGTTAATCACCAACTAATGCAGCTTTCAGGTAGGCTGTCAAATGGTTAACTTGCTTTCCCAGAACCCAGCATTCCACCAAAGGAGTGAATAGTTAGGATTGTTATGAATGAGACAGTGTTTGTGCTGTAAATGTTGGCATTCCAGATACTTGAACTTCAAGTGCTTTCTGTTTTGTGTAGGATAATAGCCACCTGCGGAGAGCTCTTGAGGCAATGTGGGGACTTCGAGCAGCAGCTGGCAAACAGGTAGGCGAGAGCTGGGGTGAGACCCTGGGTTCTTTCTGGGAAGAACTTGACACAGCATACAGCACACAGTACACAGCAGCGGCAGCTTTTGGTCAGATCTGAAGCCACAGAGTTCAAGGACTGTGTGTACCCAGATACAAGGTGTCATTGTTGTCATCATGAAACATTTATTGAGCACCCAGAAAGGCCAAGGCTCTGACCTACTTGGCAATGGTCGCATAATTTTGATTTAATTTGGAAGTCTCAGCATATTATGAGGAATGGGCTGGGTTCCACTGCTTGTTTGTAAGTCAGTTATTGGGACTGACCATGAATTTACCCATAGAAATGGTGTTTATAAGTGGTGGGGAGCCCCCGGGTCAGCTACCAAATCAGGATTCAGCCAGCCAGCCTGCCTCTGGGTGCTGCAGCAGGATTCTGTGCTGCCCAAGGGGGTGCATCTCCATGGAGGGTTGGTTTCTGGGGTTGGCCTAGGAGAAGTCCCTTTGCCCTCTCTCTGTTCTGACACTTGCCAGGGCCTTATGTCGCCCCAGTGTACTGTTCAGGCTGATTCTCCCCACACGTGCTCCATAGAATTTGGCACAGGTAATAACTTTGTAGGTAAAAGAAGTTACTTACAGAAATACTGTGTCTGAGGTGATACAACTGTGAGGCGGTGGTTTGAATTGGACGTCAGCTGAGCCATCCAGAGTGCGTGACGGACGGTCACTCTTGCGCTGCCTGTTCTCACGGACTCGTGTCTGCCCTTGGACTCCTCTCTCCACATCGGAACACGCACTTTCCTTAATCTTTTTTAATCCTCACCTGAGGAGATTATATGTATACATGTATATTTAAATATGTTTTTATTGCCCAAGGGAGAGAATCACTGATGGCTGCCTCCTGCACGCCCCCTACTGGGAATTGAATCCACAACCTCTTGGTGTACGGGAAGATGCTCCAACCAACTGAGCCACTCAGCCAAGCTCCTTTTGAGCAGTGGTGTTTTCACCAGGGGCAGGTTTTAGTGGGGTAGTTTCGTGGGACAATAGGGTTTGGGGAATCTAATCTAAACTTCCAAGTTGCCATGACTGAGGGATGGGAAACAAATTTTCATGAAAAGGAAGCGAACCGAGGAAGTAGATAGAACTGAAATGTGAGTCCTACATGGGCCCATGTTTGCCTCCCCCGTTAACCTCTGAGCTTAAGGGCAATGACTGTGTTCAATCATAGTCCCAAGACGTATCTCAGAGGACTGCCGTTAGGAGAGAGCTTTTCTCTGATGAGTGAGGAAGTCCAGTGTCATTTCATGTGGTTGAGCTCACAGTACTAGTAAATACACAGGCCAGGGAACCAGACTCTAATGGAGATTGCCTAGTGTCTGGGGACGAAGAGGCCAGGCAGGGTGCCCTTAGTTCCTAGGGCTTGGAGCGATATTATTTGAGCATTTTTAAAACTAGGCTTGGTTTTTATTGTAGAGCACACGATTCTGATGTTTTAAGCTGTAACCTCTAGTCCTTGAAACATTCCCACCGCGTCTGCTGCTCTTCACCCTGGGTGGCGGGCGAGGCCAGCTCCCCGCTGCCAGTCCTGCGGAGGGCGAGGCACGCCGCCTCCACCTCCTGTCACCACGCGGGGCCCGCCTGGCATTCAGGAGGTAATACTGAGCACCTGCCATGTGCGGGGACCGTGCGAGGTGCTAGGGACTCCGAGCTGAAGCACAGCCTCACCTTCTAGAGCAGTGGTTCTCAGCCTTGGCTGCACATTAGAATCACCTGGGAATCTTTTTAAAATCCTGACTTCTGGGCCTCATCCTCCGGAAATTCTGTTTCTTTGTTAGGGGGTGGGGCCACAACATTAGTAACAAAGAAACAGAATTTCCGGAGGAGGAGGCCCAGAAATCAGGATTTTAAAAAGATTCCCAGGTGATTCTAATGTGCAGCCAAGGTTGAGAACCACTGTTCTAGTGGGATAGAAACGAGACAAGATGATAAATGCCACCAGAGAGGCGAGGGGCTGAGGCAGCAGAAGGCCGAATGGCTGGGGAGGCATGTCAGGAAAGACGTGGCAGAGAAGGCCCTGGACCAGCGTGTGCAGGAGTGGGTTCCCCAGGTGCACAGGGCAGGGCAGCGTTTTGGGGTGAGGGTGAGGATGAGCACGGCATGTGTGTGTGGGAAGCATGGGGTGGGTTGGGGTTGGAGTGGCATGACGAGGGGCTGCCAGGGCTCTGGCCATGGAAGGCCGGGGTGCCCTGCCTCGGCATGTTTAGGTGTGTCCTGGGCACTGAGGGCTGCCCAGGCCTGGCTTTTGGAAAGCTCGTGCTGTTAACCCACAGGACGACAGAGCAAGTGGCGTGTGGAAGGACTGGAGGCAGGGAGGCTGCCGAGGTTCAGGCGAGGAATAGTGACGACTTGGGAGTAGGGCCGCGGCAGGGACGGCCACAGCTTGGCAGATAAAGGACCCGTGAGCCTAAGCCACCGGGCAGGTGGCCGCCCTCCGTGGCAGAGGCTCCTCAGGAGGGCCTGTCCCAGCGTTTGTGTGCAAGTACAGGCGCTTGTTTCTTGGCAACTCACGGGATTTATTTTTTTGGGAAAAAGTGCTGAGTGCAACCTGAAAGCGGCAGGTCCAAAGCAGTGTTTTTCGTAAGAGATGACAGGGAGGGCCGGGGAAGTAGCCACGTTTGGGCTGTCTGGCGATACTTGCTCTCCTGGTTACGTTTGTCCGTATCATTCAGTGCCCACTGAGGTGTGTAGGCTGGAGGATAAAGTGGCTGAGGAAGAACCAAGTGGAGGCTTTTCAGCGTCCCGGGCAGGTCATCCTGTTGGAGACAGAACTCCAGCTTCCCCCGCAGCACTGGGGCTGGTCATCGAGTCTCCTGGAGGCACTTTCCTTTCTTCGAGAAGCCGGGGAGGGCCAGCTTCTCCAAGGAGACCCCCTAGCACCTAACCATGAAGGCAGACTTCAGTGACACTGACACTGAGTGACGGCGCGTCCTGCATGGGGGGCGTGCAGTCTGCTGTTGTCAGCTCTCTGGGACCAGCTGTCCCACCGCCCTGCCCGGCGTCCCTGGAACTGAGGTGCTGGCCGCTCCCAGGGCTCTGACTAGCCCACCCAGTGATGGGCATGTGGAAGGAAGGCCCACACAGAAAGTGCGGGGTCCCCATGGCAGTGAGGGACGGGCCCTGTAGCTGCCTGTCCTGTTAGGAAGACAGCATCTTCTGGAGGAGTGAGTGTTCATCAGCAAAGAGCATCACCTGGTGTCTATTGTGTGCCTGCGACCAGCTCACTCCCCCTGGGGACGGACGCCTTCATTTCCTTGTAAAATGGACCCTAAGTCCACCTGCCTCAGGTATGCTGGGATGGAGTAAGGAGCAGCATGAATGCTTCAAGAAGGCACTTCCATACAAAGCCCTGGGGTGTCATGCTCCCCACTGCCCTTGCAGGATTCTGTCCACGGCCGGGAAGTACCTGTCTGACGCCTACAGCCCCCGGAGCCTGAGCGCGGTTCACGACAGCATCCTGACGGACAGGAAGAGCTCTGCCAAGAACCCGTGGCAGGAATATAATTACCTCCAGAAGGACAGCCCTGCCGAATACGCCAGCTTAATGGAAATGCTATATACCCTCAAGGTATGAGACCAGATTGATGGCATTCTTGCCCATGAAAGCATTCCATTGTCACTCACCTTTCCCTGATCCTGGCTTTCTGGCCCCGTGTGGGCGTGGGGCCGTGGCATGTCCTGCTGCCACCTCTCTGTCTCATTAATGTCGTGGCTTTGAGGGGCTAAGCACTAGACTGGGTTGGAACCAATTACAACAAAGATGTAGGAGTCGGGTGGCTGGAGCATTAGTACTGACAAAGGTAGGCTGGAGAGTGTGGCTTTCGATCTGCGGCCAAATGAGCTTGCTGTACTTCCCTCCAGTGTTAAACCTTCAGCAGCTCCTGGTCCCCTTTTACTGAATGGCAGAGGGGGGACCACAGTGTGTACTGCCTGCCGGTGGGCAGACCCGGAAAGGTGGACCCCAGCCCAGAGAGGAGCGAGGATGGAGAGGACCAGGCCACTCGCTCCTTTGGTGCAAGTTCCTGCAGGAGGCAAATGAGGACTTGGGGACAGTGCCCTGCTCACTGGTCCTTCAGAGTCTTAGTGTGTCTACCACAAAGCTGCCCTTGACTTTGAGCTTAAACCCTTGGGTTTAGGGATAGAAGGACCTCCCAACAAAGGGAATGAGTCGCACAGCTTCCTGCAAATGAGCCCCAGTTCCCAGAAGGCCACAGGCATCCTTCCCAGCGTCATCTCCTCCCCCCACCCTCCCCCCGACCCCCGCCCCCCGTCCCCGTATCCGCTGTCTGGTTTGAAGCTCATCTCTCGGTAAGAGGCAGAGGAGACATTGCTCGCGTAGCACCGAGCGCAATCTAGAATATCCTGACGGGCCTTAGGCTCTGCGGAGATTGCAGGTGCTTCTGTTGCTCTCCTCGCCCCGCTCCCGGAGCCTGCACCATGGTCCACAGGATGACTGCTCTGGAGCGTGACAAAGCCTTGTTCAAGCAGTTCTGCAAGTCAGTCATCTGTGCTTCTGCGGTTAGGGTACAGCAGCTCCGCTTATCTTTATTGCTGATCTGATTTATTTCTGTTTCTTGTAATCAGTTCATTTATAATAGCAAAACTCAGGCTCCATTTTCCATCTCTGCACTCTCAGGCTGATGGAATTCCCGGGGCTTGCGCAGGCTGTGCACGCTCTGGCCTGCAGCCCAGTGTACTTGACCTGACCTCGTGGGGGTCAGGGCTTTGTCCATCACTCTGGTCTGTACATGACACTTCTGATCGGGTTTTCCCTGTTCCTTTATCCCTGAGGGACAGTCAGGTCAGTTTTTCCTAAACTGCCAACCCACGAACCTGGGTTAGCTCAGCTGCATCAGAATCACCTGGAAAAGTGATTTTAAAAATGATTGCTGGGCTCCTGCACGCTGCTGACTCCAAGTCAGTAGTTCTGGGGTGGAGCCGTGTCTTCCAATGGGCCTGTGCTCCCGGGTCCTGCTTTGGGAACCCCTGTTGTCTAGCACCCCTCACTGTTTTCCTCTCAGTGGCTTTTCAGAATGTCTAACTAGCCAATGCCTGGGCTGGACTCCGGGCCTAACAAGTGCCTTTTGCATGTTCTTATCTTAGGAGAAAGGGTCCGGCAACCACAACCTGCTGTCTGCCTCCCGAGCAGCCCTGACTCGGCTCAACCAGCAGGCCCACCAGCTGGCCTTCGACTCAGTTTTCCTGCGCATCAAACAGCAGCTGCTGCTCATTCCCAAGATGGAAGTGAGTCTCCCACCGCCCTGCCTCCTTCCCAGGAACATTCTCCCTGCTCCCCCAAAGCTTCAGGAGGGGCCTGCGTGGACTCCCAGAGCAAGGAGTCCCCCTGCTCAGAGGCAGCTCACTGCTTGCCAAGAATTCCTTATCTTAATTGCGGTGACTGTGGTGCAGTATTTCCAGGCGTTTCTTGGGATGATTACTCTTGCTCGATTAACTTCAGCCATCAGGAGCGTGGCTGTGCCCTCCGAGGGGAGTAGGGAGCCCGGGCGCCTGGCTGGGCTGGGCAGGGCAGGTCGAGGAGCTGAGTGTCTTGTGAGGTTGTTTTCGTCATGCCACCGGCCTTTCGGGAGAGTTGGTTCTGGGACTTCACTCAGGAGACTGCTCCCCAGGTTCGACCTGGGGGCTGGAGGGGCTGGAGGGCTCTGCTCTGCCCTGGAGGCCGTTCCTCCTTGGCCGTCCTCCCTCCCCCACTTCTCTCTCCTGGTTGTCCTGATTCCTTCTCAAGGAATTGCCCACCAGCCATTCTTTCTCTACTGGCTCAGTCTCCCGGTCCTGATCTCATCGCTTTCCTTTGGATTCCTGGGACCATCCCCTGGTTCATCTCTCACCGTCTCCTCAGTTCTGTTAGGATTTGGCTTTTTTTTAAAAATAGTTTTTTGGGAAAGATCCAATTATGGGGATTTAATAACGAGGGGCTCCTTTTAGGAAGCAGCAAGAATGAGTTTGACATAATTACAAGTTCTTGGCTTCCTGCTGCCTCCCTGAAATCATACAGGCCGGGCACAAGCGTTCACTGTGCCCTTGGCAAGTCTCAGCCCCCCCGCGGCATCTGTCTCCATCTATCCAAGGACCTGGTTCAACTACACGATTTCAGGGTTCTTTCCTCCCTGGAATTCTGTGATTCTTTTAATGATTCGTCTATGCAGATGCCATGAGATCTACTCTAGCCAGACTGTACATGTCTTGCATGGTTGGGGCGGGGGTGAGATTGGAAGACAGCCATGCCGTCACAGTGCAGTGGAAGTGATGTCGATGACCAGTGCTATCCCTGGGCACTTGCCGTGCGTGGCTTTGGGTCACAGGGCCGAGGCTGCTACTTCCTCTGTGACCTCATCTCCTCATCTGTAAATGGGGACACCCATTCATTCTCACCATGCAGATGAGCGAGGATTAAGGGAAATTTTGTATATGATGGAATTGAGCACAATGGCCGCGAAATGAGTAGATGCTTCACAAGGGGTGGTTTTCTTTCTTTCTGTGGTTCTCATTTTTTAAGAGGAATGAGAATTTAAAAAATAAAAAATATCTACATTTATTTTTAGAAATTAAGCAATAAAGGAAGGTGTGAAGGAAAAAGCAAACCCTTGCAGAATCCCAACACCTAGAAATAAGCAGTGTGAACATTTGTTCGTCCACCCAGACTTCTCTCCATGTCTGCCCACATGGCGAAGGCTGCACGGCACTACAGGAGGAAGTGCAACTGGACAGCCAGGCTGTTCTTAAAAAATAAAAAACATATACCATATAAATTTTATTTGAATTTAACTAGAAAAAGAAGATAAAGGAAACCAAAGGAATGTTTAAACTTGAGTTGCTAGTTTTTTCATTACAAAAGAAATTAGTTCCAAGCCCTGGCCGGTATGCTCAGTAGTTAGAGGGTCGGCCTGTACACTGAAGGGTCACAGATTCGAGTCCTGGTCAAGGGCACATACTTGGGTTGTGGGGTTCATCCCCAGACACCGTAGGGGCACATGCAGGAGGCAACCAGTTGCTATGTCTCTCTCACATTGATGTCTCTCTCTCCTCCTCCCTCCTTTCACCCCCTCTAAAAATCAATGGGAAAAAACATCCTTGGGTGAGGATTAACCAAAAAAAAGAAAAAAGAAATTAGTTCCCAGATCTCTCCAAGGTTAAGGAAAAAAAGATTATGGAAACTATTAGAGATCGAAGTCATTGTCTTTGCTGATCACGCTGCCATTTAATTTAATTTATTTATTTCTGTGTTTTTATTGATTTGAGAGAGAGAGGGAGGAAGGGAGAGGGAGAGAGGGAGAAACATCCATCAGTTATCCATCAGTTGCCTCCCATGCACACCCTGACGGGAGATGAGTGCACACCCCGGGCATGTGCCCTGACCAGGAACCGAACTGGAGCCTCTCGAGGCCCAGGGTGACGCCCAGCCAACTGAGCCACATTGGCCAGAGCTCACACTTCAGTTTAGACAGAGGTTGACACAGGTTCACCTGCCCTGAGAGGCGAGGAGTCAGCATCCTCACAGCTCCTGTCTCCCTCCCTTACTCCAGGCTTGGTTCCTGTTGTTATTTTATTGGGTCGCAGCTGAAAAATCTTGACCTTCTGCTCTGAAATCCTCATTCTCCGTCCTAGCTCTCCATGGAGCGGGTGTGGAGTCCCCACCTGCCCTCCCCCTCTGCATCCCGAGCTCATTGTGGGGGTTGCTTCTGGGCTGCTGGGCTCTGGCCTTTGGTTGGGCCTCAGCACCGCGCCTCTGGCGTGGGCGTGGGGGCAGGCGCTCTCCGCCTGTGCCAGCACGGAAGCACAGCACAGAGGCAAACACTCTGGTTTTAAGGATTTGAAAATTAAACCCTGGTCATTGAATGTTTGTTTTTAATGTTTGCTGGTCAGTTGTACCACCCTTTTACATGACAGGAATATAAACCCACACTCTATTCCATTTCAAAATAGATTGTTGAGGTTTAGCTGTATTACCTGGTAACAGATGGATAGAAAAACCCATTTGAAGGAAATCTATAATAATAAAAGTGTAATATGTTAATTAGACCAGACAGCTGAATGACCTTCCAGGTGTCATTCCGGACGTCCTTCCAGACGAAGCCACCATGGCAGGGGCCGAGGCAGAGGCGGTTAGGGGTGATCAGGCAGGCAGGTGAGCAGTTAGGGGCAATCAGGCAGGCAGGCAGAGTGGTTAGGGGCAATGAGGCAAGCAGACAGAGTGGTTAGGGGCGATGAGGCAGGCAGGCAGAGGGGCTAGGGCGATGAGGCAGGCAGGCAGATGGGTTAGGGGCGATGAGGCAGGCAGACAGAGGGGCTAGGGGCGATGAGGCAGGCAGGCAGGTGAGCAGTTAGGAGCTAGTGGTCCTGGATTGTGAGAGGGATGTCTGAGGGGTTCTGGATTGTGAGAGGGTGCAGGGCGGGCTGAGGGACACCCCTCCGCCCGCAACCCAGGTATGTGCCCTTGACTGGGATTGAACTCTGACCCCTTGGTGCACAGGCCCGCATTCTAACCACTGAGCACACTGGCCCGGGTCGTCCTTCTGTTTAAGTGTGGTTCCCATCTGTTCCCAGGGCCACTGCCCTGGTCCAGGCTCTCATTGCCTCGAGCTGTTTCTTGAGCTTTCTCTCTGCCTCCCACCTTCAGTCCTCCTCAGCGTTGCTGCATTAATTTTCATAAAGCTTTGCTCTATGAAATTTTGGTCTCTCGCCGCCCAAAACTCTTCCTGAGCTCACTTGGGCCAGGATCATAGTCTATTGAAAAACTTGTTCATTATGGAAATTTTGACACATATGCAAAAATAGAGAAGAGGACAGTGAGCTCCATGTCCTCAGCACCTGCTTCACCATGGTCAACTCCTAGCCACCCGTTCCATCGTCCCACCTAAGACACGCCTCTTTCGCTTCCATATCTACCAGCTCCATTTTTCTCTGTTTCTCTCCCCCCTCCCTTTGCAATGTATTTCTCGAAGGTAAAGCCTTCTCTTAGCCTGGCGTTCTCCTTCTAGCCGTCTCTCGTCACCTCACGCATCCTGTGGCCAGCCCCTTCTCCAGTCGCTCTGAGCTCTTGCTGCTCTGAACGTTTATTGCATCTGCCACCGAGACCTCCTGAAGAGGGAGCCCGAGTGGATGCGTGTGGGGCGATTTCTTTGTCTGCTCTCTGCAAAGCCCAGCACGTCACAGGCACTTGGTCCTTGTGGGTGATCGGGTGTTCCTTCTCAGTGGGGTGGGAGTTAACTGAAAAGAAGTAGGACATTTGGAAAGAAAAGTGAGGGTTCTCAAGCAAGAACACGGAGTTTAGAGAATTGTAGGGCAGGGAGAGGAAGAGAACTTGTCTAGAGTGAAGAACATTAGGCAGATCCTGTGCTGGAGAGCACGGGAGGATGGCGGCTGAGCTTGGGCGGAAGCCAGGGTGGATGTGGTCACTGCCTTCCCAGAACGCTACTTAAAGGATCAGGCCACCGGATCGGCATCAGGTGGCAGGAGAGCCGCAGCGTGACCTCGGGAGCCACTCCAGGAGTCAGCCAGAGCGGCCTTGTTTTCCAGGCCGGCTTTAGGGTGACTCAGGTGGAATGAAGAAATGAGCTTTACGTGTGAGGGTGTGCCAAGCTGAGCTCTGTAACCATGTGTGTGCCGGCGATTTGCCTAACTATGGAAAACGTGAGGGGCTCACGCAGTGACACTGTAGACACCCCCACTTTAAATGATGAAGGAGGACGTGCTGGTGCCGAGGTCGGCCCAGTCAGGGCTCACATAGAGGACGGCAGCTGGGGATTGGGACTGCTTGCCTTCCCTCCCCTCTGAGTTCTGAGCCCGGTGAGGACTGGGTCCAGAAGGCGGGTGGAAATGAGAGCAGTAGCTCCAACTTAGCAGTGTGGTGTGGGTATTCCTGCAGCCAGAAAGGGCTTCCCAAGCCTCCCTCCCCAATTGTGGGTGCTGAGGCAGATTTGGGGTGTCCTAGCCTTTTCAGAGCGCTGGAGACCCAGGAGTGAGTGAGGCTGCCTGTGCCCCACGACTTGTGCCTGTTGCCCCCACCCAGTAGAAAAACTCAGAGCAGAAGAAGCCAACTCATTTCACGTTCGGAGGGAGAAGTAAGGCCTTGGCTCCCACGGAATAATCCAGCGGAGGAGGTGGGAGCCCTCTTGCGTGGCTCCGTAGGCATGAGCTCTGAAGGCCTGTGCGGGCCTCAAGGTCATAGTTTAAAGAAGGGAAGCCCCTGGTCTGCCAGCTCCGAGCAGGTGAGGCCTGTGGGAGTGCGCCCTTCGCCCTCGGGGCCGCTCCCTCTCTGGTGCTGCCGGTGCTGACACTGACCCTCCTCTCCCCCCAGAGCTGGAGCACCGCGGGCATTGGAGAGACCCTGACGGACGCCCTGCCCACCTTCAGCCTCACCCCCCTGGAGTACATCAGCAACGTAAGAGCTCCTGTGCTTCGCCCAGCGGTGGTCACAGCCTCTCAGGCCTCCCCTTGGGTTGTCATTCTATCTAGGCCGTTCCTGTCCAGGACTTTAAGGAAATCAGCTGGGAAACATGCTGCTTTCCGAACCTGGCACGCTGCCTCCCCTCCCCCACCCCCCTAATGGGAGGCGAGTCAGTACCTGCGGCAGCAGAGTGAGTCCAGTGGGAAGGTTGGATTTGGGAAGCCCCACGCTCTCACTTTAGACGCCTCCCCCACATAAGCTATGACTGTTGTAATAGACACACTGGACTTTTAAAGTAGAGGCTGAAGTAGAGGCTGTGCGTTAGGAGTGGGTGACGCCACTGGCGGGAGGATGGCACCCCACTCTCTGTCCACTGGGAGTGTGTGAGTCCCGGGTGGCAGCCATTGTCCTCCTGTTTTCCAGGGTGTTACCCGATTTCCTGCTCTGTGACACCAGTGGGAGCGATCTCATTTTTAGAATCGAGACATATGCATTACAGTAAAAATTAATACGGGACACCATGTTGCTAAAAGCAACTTTAGAGGTTATGGAATTGACCTCAAAAGTGTAGAGGAGTAAGGAGGCTGGGATGCGTTTCTAGGCACGGCCTTGCCCTCCTGCTGGGCCCGGGGTGGAAGGAGCACTCCCCAGGCAGGCACTGTGCAGCTCGGTGCGGATTGGTGCTTGAGGTGGTGCACGGCCAGCACGGGGCTCGGGCGGGAGTGGGGCGGGAGGCCATTTCTCCACGCAGCTGGGTTAGGACGCCAGGTGCTTCATGCGCGTATCGCACAGTGTTAGTTTCATCCTCGCCACGGCCGTGGCAGTGAGTGTGAGCTCCTCGTCCCAGAGGTGAAGGAGCCAGGGCCCTGGCAGAGCCAGCTGCCCGGGCCGTCGTGCTCCCGGAGCGCTGAGCTACCCTCACACCATCAGCGGTGCTTGCGAGTACGTGCGTGGTAGCTTCCCTGTCCACAGGGGTTTCCGGAGGGAATGCGGACAGAGCTCCTGTGAGGAATCTGCACTCGGGGAGTCTCAGAACCACAGCAAGCCCACGGCCCACGGCCGAGGGATGCATGTTCGAGATGTCAGATTATTGACATTTTATAACAAAGGACCTGCCTCGTTGGTGAATGCCCTCACCTATGCAGAACTATGGGAGCATTCCAAAGGGGTGAAACAGGAGATAATGCTGTGTAAAGCTTAAAGGTGACACTGGTACAATGGTGGTGGTTTATTTTGAATAAAACTGGGTCTGAATTTAGCCAAAGGTGTGGTACCAATGAAGGGTGTACCAAGTACAGAATATGCCTGGGGTCTGTGCACACAGTAGGTGTTCAGGAAGTGCTTGCTGAGTGGAATTAAGTGCTTGCTGAGGGGAGAAATCGGAGCCCTGGAAATCAGCACCCTTCTCTCCCTGCGACCTTGCGGAAAGTAAGGGATCTGCTGTGATTTTCAAGCAGAAAGGACAGTGGTTGTTTTCAGTGAGTGAAGGGGCCACTTGTCCGGTTCCTGTGAAAAACCACACTCAGTAAGTGAACGGGGAAAACACTGCGGCCTGTTTAGAGGGAGGCCGGCCAGTCGGGATTTTGTTAGCTGGATGGACCATGGGACGCGCAGACTCACTGCAGCCAGCCACGGGCAGTGTCGGGGCGAGGGTGTAGTCGCACGTGGTCCCTGGGCGGGTACATTTTGGAGTCTGCTCACTTCCGGAGGCCGTGCTCTCAGGAGGACCTGCCACTGGGTAGGTGCGTGTGAGGCCAGGTGCAGAGCCCTCAGACCTGAGCTTTCAGAGTTCCCGTTAACGCTCAGTGGAGACGAGTGTCTGGAATGAATATGGAGCCAAAAAAAGCAACAATAGGCTCACAGACCATGTTAAAATATAATATTATATTGTCATAACCTGGGAATCAACCTTATGTTATACTTAACACACAAACCGGTTCTGAGCAGTAATGGAAACAGGTGTTTAGTCTAGAGTATATTCACGGCAACAGCCACGTGGACCTGGCGAACACCGGGCAGGCACTGTGTTTCTTATGGTTTGTCCCGAAGGGCTTAGAGCCCGACCTTCTCCAGTTCCCCACCAGCCAATAAGGCTTTGTCTTCATTTCCTAGAGTTGGTATTATGAAGACAATATAGTTTTCCCTTCAAATTAATTTATAATCATAAATGGCCCCCCCCCCCAAAAAAAATTACTTCCTTCACCTGTTTAAATCGCCTAGAAGGCAGAGACTGTGGTCTAGATCTGGGGCAGGGTTTGCTGGCCATTGCTGTGGACGTAGTGCCTTCTGGCTTTTCACCTGCGAGCAGTTATTACTGGTGTTGACACAAGTGCTACAAGCTGTCCAAAGCGCTCCGGTGCCCGTTACCTCATTGGAGGGGAGCTTGTGCTGAGTGTTCCAGAAATACTGAGCCCCCGGGGAGAAGGACGGTCGGCCCTGCATGCACACCGCCCTGGTGTGGCCATGCGCAGTGTTAGCACACACGAGGACTGGCCTTGGGCTGCCCAGGGCTAGCAGTGTGTCCGTCACTTGTCTTCACACAGGTGTGCCTCCTGAAGTCACCTGTGTGCTTCTGTTTCAGATCGGGCAGTATATCATGTCCCTTCCTCTGAACCTGGAGCCGTTTGTGACTCAGGAGGACTCTGCCTTGGAGCTGGCGCTGCACGCGGGAAAGCTGCCGTTCCCTCCCGAGCAAGGTGAGACATCTGTAGGGAGGGCTTGAGGCCTGGAGGTGCGAGGACACGCCCACTCGGCACCCTGGCCGCATCCCACACGGCTCTCCCAGGCCCGCCGAAACGGTTTCTGAGGATCAGGCAGTGACTGAGAAAGCTTGGGGTATGCAAAATAACACAGTCACTTTCGCTTGTGTATTTGCCTACGTGCACAGGCATGTGAAAACACAGGCATGTGAAACCGTGGGAACAGGTCTCAGGGTGTGTGCTGGGTCAGTGGGGAGTGGGAGGGAACTGCTTGCTTTTTGCTCTACTTCTGTGTTATCTGAAATGTCTTACAAGAATATATTTCTCTCTTGTATGTAAAAGATATGTGTACACCAAAATGTCAGAAGTAGTCATTGAAGGCTGTGAGGTTATATAAGCGTTTTTTATTTTTATCTATTTGCTAAATATGCTTTTTAAGTTTAAAAAATTTAGAGAACATTTTTTCATAGAAATTTTCACACAGACACGCACACAGACACACGCACACACACATGCACGTGATGGGGATGGGGTGATGAAACCCACTGCCCTCCCCCGCCTGCTGCATCCCCATGTTCACGTGCTTCGTGAGCAGGGCCCTCTCACATGTGCCCTGTGGGTGGCACTGCTTAGCACACGTCTGCACTCTGCTCGATGCTCCTCCTGGTGTGCATGTGGCAAGCGGACGCCCACACTCGCCCCGCCTGAGGCTCCATTGCCCGAGGGCGCCACGGCTGTGGGTGTAACCGCTGCTGCAGAGGGTCTTTCCCGAGCAGGCTCGGTGAGTTTGCTGATTCACTCTCCCTTTCCAGGGGATGAATTGCCCGAGCTGGACAACATGGCTGACAACTGGCTGGGCTCGATCGCCAGAGCCACGATGCAGACCTACTGTGACGTGATCCTCCAGATCCCCGAGCTCACCCCGCACTCCACCAAGCAGCTGGCCACTGACATTGGTGGGTCCCCCAGCTGGGCGGGAGAAGGGACAGCTCTGGCCCACGGCAACCGTCAGCCCCCAGCCTCCAGGCGTCTCCTCCCAGGTCTCCTCGTGACGTCGAGTGCCAACGTGGCCCTCAAGCTTTCAAAAATGCAGTCGCTTCTCCAGGCCCCGTCCCCAGGGCTTCTGACTTAGCCTGGGTGGAGCCCAGACATCTGCACTTGGGGAGTGTGGGAGGGGTTCTGACAGGCGGCTGAGGCTGAGGCACTAGGGCAGCTTCCGCGAGCTGCTGCCTCGCCCACCCGGCCTTCTGTCCCATTTATAGAACTCCCTCAAACTAGCCTTGGTTAAGCTCTTACTACACACCAGGCTGCCAGGTGCCGCGCCAAGCCCTCACGCCCGTTGCCTTACGCAATCTTCAAACTCCCCTGTGAGGCCCTCTCGCCCCCATCATGCTGATAGGGAAATGGAGGCTCAGGGCAGTTGTGTAATGAGACACCTGGAGTCCCAGAGTCCCTGCCCGCCTCCGGGCAGAGAGGCATGTGCCCACCCACTCCTGCTGGCGCCCATCTTGCAGGTGGTGCTGAGGTTTGTGCTGTGGGCAGGCGACGGGAGTGTCCCCAGTCTCCTGGTGTCATTCCACTGCTTGCCTGGGGCAGCCCGGGGTGCTCAGGGCCAGGGTGGCAGGGGCCCAGCAGGGCTCTGACCTGATGAGCACAGGGCCCAGCCAGCCTCTGGTTTTGCTGAAGGAGAGCTACAAGTGATGCCCTCCTCCCGGGCCCAAAGCAGCCAGTGGGAGCCCGGCCTGGAGCCCAGACTCCTGGGCCCTGAGCTGCACCCTTGGCAGTGAGCTCAGCAATTGCCGCGGGAGGCAGCGCCTTGCCACGTCACGGGCGCGTGCGCCTCCTTGGTGCCCCGTCAGTGCAGCAGGGGCACCGAGCAGAGAACCAGCGGATAGAGAGCGAGCTGAGCTTGGGGTTGCCCTGGATTTCAGTTCACATTATTTCCGCTCCCTGTTACGCTCCCCTCCTGGTGATCCTCCTTCCGTGTGGGGGGGGGAGTACTGTCCGTGCTGGCCGGAGTGCTAGGAATTGGGCTGTGGGCAGTGCCTGTGCCCCGGCGCTGGTCCTGGGGCGTGTGCTGGGGCCGGGAGGAGGCCGCCGAGGTGTGACACTCAGGCTGTGGCACGATAGAGATGGGTGAGGTCTGTGGCAGCGCACGGCCCCTTAAAGACGTTCAGGTTCCGTGTTAACAGAAACAAGCCTCAAACCATCCGCTGGCCAAACAGAGAAGGTCGTGATGGGCCTGGGCTTCACTTCGCAGCCCCTGGCTCCGGCGAGTGGAGCTCAGCTGTGGGGACAAGCTGTGCAGGAGGCAGGTGCCTGACTGGTGGAGGCTGCCTCCTGGGAAGCAGCTCCCCCTGAGCCGGACCTCAGCCAGCCGGCCGGGGCCGAGCAGGGCCTCAGAAGGAGACACGGGAAGAGGCAGACCTGCCTGGCGCTCCCGTGTCAGGGAGAAGGAAGGGCCTGGGCGGCGCTGCCTCCAGCCCTCCCGACAGGAAAGGCTCCCAGAGGTCTGTCCCCACCAGGAAGGAGGAGGAAAGGCAGCACCCATCACCGTCACCGCAGTACGTCAGGCTGCTCCGGGCCTGTGTCCCCATTCCATCCTCTTAGGTGCAGCCCAATGGGCAGCAGCTGGGAGCGGGACGGGCCCAGCTCAGTCAGGAACTCCCTCGGAGTCCAGGCCTCTAGCTGAGGGCAGAGCGGACCCCAGCATTTGGAGGGTGGGCAGGGTCCACTTAGTATCCGAGGGGGCCCCGGGAGACCTGGTGGGCCTGTCCTGCCTGTGCTGAGTCTGTCCCCACCCCACAGACTACCTGGTCAACGTGATGGACGCCCTGGGCCTGCAGCCCTCCCGCACCCTGCAGCACGTCGGGACGCTGCTGAAAACCAAGCCCGAGGACTACCGGCAGGTCAGCAAAGGCCTGCCCCGGCGCCTCGCCGCCACGGTGGCCGCCATGCGGAGCGTGGACTACTGACCCCCGCGCGGCTGAGAGGAGGGCGGGGCTGCGGCCCGGGCCCGGCAGCTCTTCAGAGAGGCTTTGCTCTAAAACTGCCCGGATTGGGCAGAATTGGTTTTAAAAAGGCTTTCATTTGTGATTAAAAAAAACACCCCCAAACATTGTAAATCAGAGGTTTATTTATTAGAGCGGTATTTTCAGATGATTTTTTTAAATGACCCGATCTGGAAAGTGGAATTAATAAATACAGTGAAACGCAAGAACGTTCTTTCCTTTCTCTCCAGCGGATGGCTGGTTCTGCGCGTTGGGGATGTCCGTGAGAAAGGGAGGGCGGGTTGGCAGGTGAGCAGCAGAGAAGATACTTTCAGATACTAGGGAGCAAGAGGGCATCGGGCGGAAGGCAGCCGGGTGAGATGGGTGGGCAACCCCGAGACCCAAAGGACAAGACCTGGCAAAGAGCGGGCACAGCGCCGACCGGCCACCGGCGGGGCGTGAAGGGGGCCGGAGGCTGCTGGGCGACGAGGCCTCGGACCTCTGATGAGGACCGGCTTTTCCTTTTTAAAACGTGCAGATGGTGTGGATTCTGGTTTTTTGCCGGTAGCTTTGTATCTGTTACGAGTGTACTGGTCTACAGGTAACAGAATAATGTAATCTGAGTGACTCACACAAATAGGAGTTGATTTTTCTCAGTAACAGGTGTCAGATGGTGGGCACCGATCCAGTGTGGACGAGCAAGCCCAGCCTCTGACCCGACCCTTCCCTGGTCCTCGTCCTGGCAGGGCAGCTCCTGCAACCACGAGGGGTGGGGCAGGAAGCAGAGGCGCTGAGCAAGTCTGTCCCTCTCCTGGGGAGGCAGAGCCCCACCCGCTTCCTCCCAGGCCTCATTGGTCATTTTCTTGGTCACCAGGTACCTCCCCAGTTGCAAAGGAGGCTGGGAAGGCCGGGACAGGACTGGCTGTACCAGGGTTTCCCAGTCCTGGCGCGAGCGACATTGGGCCTGCCCTGTGCACCTTGGGACGCATAGCAGCATCCCAGCCTCCCCCAGGCCAGGCTGAGGGACTCCCCTAGTGTGACAGCCAGCGTGCCTGCAGACCTTGCCCCAGGGCCTCGCCTCCAGCAGAGAAACCCGCTCAGCGCACTCAGGATGTATTGCCTGGGCTGGGCCATCATAGCCCTGGACAGACTGGGCTTTGTTAGCAGGGGGAGGGGAGGGCCAGTGTCTCGCAGGGTCCCCTGTGGGGACTGGACCGTTCCTCCCCTCCGCCTCCCAGCAGCCTCCCTGTCACACACAGAAACCGAGGTTTGGAGAAGTTCAGGGGGTTCGCCTGGAGTCACTCAGTACCAGTGGCAGGGCCGGGCTTAGAGCGAGCCTGTGACCGGCACCCCCTGCTCCTGACCACAGGGCGAGGCCGGCAGCACCACCTGGTCCCACCTGGTCGGACCCGCCCCAGGCCGCCAGGATCTGTCTCGCTGGGTCACCCAGGGTTCTGGCACATCTGTCGTTTGCCCTGGCACCAGTTTTGCTGGCCCGGAAACAGCACACTGTGAACTCACACCGAGGACAGGACTCTGGTTTCTGCTGTGGGTCCCACGTGGGGCTGGCAAGGTGGAGCCTGGCTCCTGCCCGGAAGGAGGGAGGCCAGAAACCTGGGCAGTGCGGCGTGCTGATGTCTGTGCCGTCTCTGCGCCAATGTCCGCCAGGAGTGCCGCTGGGCTTCCAGTCCCAGCCTCGCCACCTCCCAGCCGCGACCTGGGGAAAGGCAGCTCACCGAGCCTCATTTCCTAATCTGAGAAGCGGGCCTCATGGTCCCTGCCTCAGGGGGCCCTGAGGTCCGGTAGGGGCAGCGGCCGTGGCACAGGCAGCCGACCTGCCCTGTGGAGTGGAGGGGGAGCCACAGACTGCCATTTCCTGGGCAGTCTGGGCCCTGGCAGCCTAATTTCCAGCCCTGAGGCTCTGGTGGGCCCTGGGGTGGGAACAGGACGGTGCGTCTCCCCATCTGGAGAGAGAGGAGTGCCGTCTGCCGGCCCCGAGCGCCTGGCACCGACTGTTCCAGGCCGGGGCCCTCAGTGCTTCCGAAGAGAAGGGCAGCAGGTGGCCCGCCAGCCGCCGTCTCACGTCTACAGGCACCTCCGGGGCAGGAAGCGGCACCTCCCACTCTGCCTCACGCTGTCTGAACAGAGCCTGTCAGGGTGTTGGAAAGGGGCTGCCCCCCTGGGTTCGCCCAAGGCTGGCAGGAGCCTCTCCCACCCCCAGGCACAGCGATCGATGGGTTCAGAAGAGCCGCATTCTCAGGGCTTTTGCCGGGACGCTGTGGAGGAGGACCTATGAGCCAGGAGGTTCTGTTTGATTCCTGGTCAGGCATCCATGCCCAGGCTTGGGCATGCAGGAGGCAGTCGATCAAGGGTTCTCTCTCATCGGTGCTCTTCCTCTTTCTTCCTCTCCCTTCCTCTCTAAAATCAATAAAATAAAATAAAAAAAGGAGCTTCCGGCTGTGGCTGCTGAGCTGAGGGAGGAGCCGGGCGGCGGGGAGAGTGGCAGGTGGAGAGAACCTGTGTGAGAGGGACGTCCACACAGAAGGGCGTAGAGCCAGCAGCTGGAGAAGCCACCAGATCTGGGTGAGCCCCTGGGCTTTTATCACAAGAGCCCATGTGTCCCCCTCCCCTCTTCTTTGTTAATCCTCACCCGAGGATATTTGTTCCATTGAGTTTTAGAGAGTGGGAGGGAGGGGAGAAAGATAGAGAGAGACACATCGATTGGCTGCCTCACACACATGCCCTGGCGGGTTGGGGATCAAGTCTGCAACCAAGATGCGTGCCTTTGACTGGAATCGAACCCGGGAACCTTCAGTCTGTGGGCCGATGCTCCAACCACTGATCCACACCAGCCATGGCCCATGCGTTAAATCAGTTCAGATTAACTTGTGGCCAAAGGAGCTAAATACGTGTTGCTCTACGTGCCCCATAGCAGCAGATGAGACAATAAGCATGAAAGCCCTCAGGCCCTGCCATGCCCACTGGCAGCAAGAGGATGCGGCTGGGTCTTCCTTCCTCGCTTACTAGAATAATAGCCATCCTGGGTACCTTTCTTTACCCCTCTGAGTCTCAGTTTATTTACCTGGAAGATGAGAATTAAATGAGATGAGACTTACAAAGTTCTTGGCCTGGCGCCTGGCATGTGGTAAGAGCTTGATACAATACAACCACTGCTTGATAGCGAATGATAATAGCGAGTGTGGTGACAGCAACCACTATGCCAATAGGATAAGTAGTCATAGCAGCAAACACGGCAATTACTAAGAGCTGCGACTCCAGCCTGCAGACGCCAGGCTTTCCCCAGGCCCTCCCTCCGCCAGCCCCGGCAGTGCTGCCCGGCCAGAGAGGCTCCAAGGTGCCACCTGGGATCCTGAATCGGAGGCCAAGGCCCCAGGTGTTAGGCCAGCAGCGGGGCCGGGCCCTGGGCGCCAGGCTGTAGCCAGCGCTCCTCCCTGCGGCAGCGGTGACAGGCCTGCAGCGCCAGCCGTCGCTCCTGCCAGACCCATTCTCCTTCCGTAACAGCTCCCTGACCTCTGTGTGGGGAGCCGCAAAGGTTGCCATATTTAGCAATCAAAACTACAGGATGTGAGCAGTTACATTTGAATTTCAGGAAAACCAGTGAGTTATTAGTATAATATATCCCAAATATTATATAGACATATTTCTACTAAAAAATGAACTCGTGGTTTACCTGACATTCGTATTTCACTTGGCTGCCTGTATTTTATCCGCACCCGTGACTCCCTGGGGCCAGCGGGCCTCAGGTGTGGGCAGGTCTGAGCGATTCAAGCAGCCTCTGCAGCTGGCCGCACCGGTGGCCAAAGGCAGGCATGTGACCAGCAGCGGCCAGTGAGAGGCAGCCTGGAGCGGTGGCCGCTGGGGAGAAGGCGCTCTCCCAGCTGCTGGCGCCCTTGGCGTGGCCTGTGGGCTGCACTGTGAGCACAGCCTCCGGAAAGCAGAGACCCGGCAGTCTCTGGAGCTGCTGGAGCCGAGCCAGCCGCGTGGTCCCCTCCCCTGCTCTGTCCTTATAACCCTCGCGATGACTTGGGTGGTATTAAAGAAGTCCCCAGGCCGCTGCTTCGGGGACAGCTGGAAAGGGACTTCAAAGACCACCTGCTTGGGGCCTCTCCTTGGCCAGGCCCTGCTCTCCGGCCGCAGGATGTCCTTCCGCCCCCGAGATGTGTCCGATGCTTCCACTGCCCCATTCGACGAAGAACACGGCTCCACGCGGTGTTTTCTACTTTTATTTTCTAGAATAAAACACGTGCCACCTGGCAGCCAGCCCTGCCCCCGCCTGATGCTCTCCTGTTCTGCACAGCCACTGCCCTCACCGATCCCACCCCGGAGGCCAGCCACCAGGAAGGAAAGGTCGCAGGTTCTAGGGGTGGCCCGGCTCTGGAGCGGACACCGACTGGCTGGAGGGAAGCGGCCGGCCCCCGGGGAAGGTGTCCTCGGGTCTCTGGAGCCTGGCTCGAGGTTGGGGTGGGCAGAAACCAGCCGAGCACACAATTCCCCACTCCCGACAGCACCGAGAGCCTACGCGCCCTCGGCCTGGGGCTGGGACTGCTGGCCTCTCTGCAAGAGACAGACTCGACCGGACACCTGTCGGCCCTTTGGAGAGGGCACGATGGAATGAGGCCTTGGGCCCTGGTCTCGGCTCCTCAGGTCCGAGTTCTTGGGCTGCCCAGGGTGGGCAGGGGCAGGGGCAGCGGCAGGGGCAGGGGCAGGAGCAGGGTCAGGGGCAGGGGCAGGGGCAAGGCCTAGATGGCATCACCCTCACTGTCAGACTCAATGACGTCCAGTGGCTGCAGACGCAGGGAGTCATAGTTGGGGGGCGGGGTGCCCGGGATGGGCAGGGTCTGCTCATCGGGGTAGGCCCCAGGGTTGGCCGTGTCAGGCTGGAAGGCAAAGTTGGTGTGAGCCTCCACCAGCTCGGCCACGGTGGGCGGGGGGCCGGCGTAGCGCGCCTGGGCCCGCCTCTGCCGCAGGCTCTTGCAGAAGGCCACCAGCCTGATGACGGTGATCCACAGGAAGTCGATGACGATCTCCGCGAACTCGATGAGGCACAGCACCGAGCCCCCCATCCAGAAGCCAAACTGGCCGCCCAGATTCGAGAGCAGCCAGACGATCTGTGGAGGGGCAGGGGGCTGAGAGCCTAGCGGAGGGGGACAGGCCACAAGGCCCTGCCTGGACCCCAGCCTCCTGGGTCCTGTGAGCTGGGCGGTGACTGGGAAGGGGCAGGGGGACCATCTCAGCCCAGGGAAACAAGTGCTTAGAGACCTTCCTTCCTAACGCCTCTGTGGGCGGGGGACCCTCCTGACCCGCAGGGTGCAGGGCAGAGGGGTCAGGAGCCCAAACTCACGTTATTAGCTGCTGACTCCTCAATGGTACGATAGTTGAATTCTTGGAAGTAGATGTTGAGTTTGACAATTCCCTTCCTGCAGGAGGCAACAGGGACTGGTGCCCTTTCCCGGACACACACACACACACCTGCCCAGCCCTCCTCTGCTTGAGCTTGGCACAGGCCAGTCCCATGAGTGGCCCCTCTGAGCCTGAGTCACAAAAGGCATCTCTGCCCAGCGCCCATCCTGTGGGCCCATTTCTGAACCAGCTTCCTAAGGGATACTCTGGCCCAAGACAGCCCCTGAGAGCTCCCCTCTCCCACCCCCAGGGTGGCCCAGCCCACACACAGGAGACGCTGCCGGGAGTCCGCCCTAACCCTTGCCACTGTTAGGAAACCTGGGGCAGAGAAGGGTGGCCAAGTGGGCTGCGCCCTTACACCCAGTGGCCCTCGGAAAGGCTGAGCTTGCCCACGTCCAGGCCTTACTTTTCTGAACAATTCTTACTCCTCCTTGGAGGGTTAGCTCCAGCACCACCCCCTATACAGACCTCCCTTATCTCTCCTGGCAGATGGAGGCTCCTTCCCACTGTGCTCCCACAGGGAGAAGCTCTGCTCGCATCAGTCTGTCCTCTAGATTCAGGTTTCCTGATATATGCACCTTGTGTCTTTTCTGTGCTCAGTGCATGTTTGTGTTGTATGAATGGAAAGATGGGTGGATGGCTGGAGGATGGGTGAGTGGAATAATGGAAGGATGGATGATGGATGATGGATGGATGGGAGGATGGATGGAAGGATGGATGGATGGATGGATGGGTAGAAGACTGGAAGGATGGAGGGTGGATGGATGGATGCGTGGATGGGTGTATGAACAGGTGGCAGAAGGAGGAACAGGCTCTCCTTTGGGAGTGGTCCACTCTGAGGCCCCTTGGGTGGCTCTCTCACTCCCAATGCTGCCTCCTCCAGGCTTACTCCCAGGTCTGAGCAGTGTGAGAAGGGGTCTGAGAAGCTGCCCTGTGTCCAGACCCCTCTCCTGAGGCCCTTTTCTGCCTCCCCAGCCCTGCCCATATGCCAGGCTTACCTGCTCAAGGTGATATTGGTACTTTGGTCCCGCTCCTGAGACAAGACATGGAAAATCCAGTCCTGCAATCCAAGGAAGCAGCTGAAAAAAATGGGGCCTGCAGCACTCCCTCCCAACGAGGGGCCCTGCTTCCTGTGGGGGGGGGGGGCACCGCCGCACCTGCTGAAGCTCCCTGGGGACATGCGTTGGTCGGGGAGAGTGGGGAGGGAGGGAATAGTGCGCGATGAGGCTGCTGTTATGGGGAGGAGGCACTCAGGTCTCCAGACTCTTCCCCCAGAGGCTCAGCCATCCTCTGCCGGCCTTGCCCACCTCTGGCCCCGGCACTTGCTGCCCCTCTGCCCAGTCCTGCTTCCCGGCCCTGCCCACGGCTGGCTCAGCTTCATCCTCTGCTCCATCACCTTTTAAGGGAGCCCTTCCCTGACCGCCATCTAAAGAGGCTTTCCCCATCTCTCTCTCATCATCCAGCTTCCTGGCTACAATCATCACCCTACTCTGCATGGTCTTATTTCTGTGGGCTGACCCTCTGGCCAGAATGCAAGCACTGCAAGGACACAGGACTCTGTCGTGGCTCACTGCACAGTGGCTGGGAGTGGAAGAAAGGGGGGAGGGGGAGGGGAGGAGGAGGCTCCCTCTCCAAAGCTCCAAGCAGCCCGCAGGCCCCACCCTCTCACCTCAGAGGCCTCAGAAGGCCAGTCGGCCATGGAGATGGTCATCTTGTACTGGGTGTCACTGGAAGAGAGAAGGCATCCCCGTGGCTGTCCCGCCCCGCAGCACCCGCACTGCCCTGCCCGCCCGGACGCGCCTGCCCCGCACTCACTTGCAGGACTCCTTGCACATCCGGATGCAGGTCTCCCTCTGGCCCAGGCTCTGGCGCAGCTGCGAGTAGCAGTAGACTGAGCAGGGAGAGGGCGGACTCTGAGCGGCCTTCCCGCTGCTCTCTTCTCTCTTGGGAGCCCTGGGCTGCCCTCTACCCTCCGGGCCCTGGCCTAAGGTCT